TGCGGGCGGAGCGAACTAAGCTTTCGTCGCAAATTTTTGAGCTCCAAAATCAAAATGCCCAGCTAATCGAAGACCACACACGCGACGTGCTTTCTATCAAGGCCAAGGAAACACAGCTTGTCCGTGCCCGCTCGGACTTTGAAGCATCTGAGCAGACTGTTCAATTCCAGCGCCGGGAAATCGATCGATTGAAGCGCGAGCTCAGTCGCCAAGTGCGAGTGTCTTCTCCACCGCCAGCAGATGTGGTTGATCATATCTACTCAGACAATGGCAATGGGGGACAGTTTGGGGACTCTGGATATGGCAGCCGGGCCATGCATCCGAGAAGAGACAGGAGTTTTGCTGGCGGGCCAAACAGTCCAGGGGGTGATGGTAAGGAGAACTTCGACACGCTGTCGCAGCCGAGCAGTAATTTGAGTGGTAAACTGAGTCCCCGAGCAGATGCCGCTTCTGGCAAGTCATCTCTATCATCACGTGGCGGCGACCGCATCAGCTCTGGCGAGAATGGCGGCGGATTCCGATCGAGCTCACAGGCTGCCTCGGGAGCAGAGAGCTGGAAGCGTGCTGCAGAGGTGACTCAAAACTTGAAGCAGAGGATAGAAATGATGAAGGTAAGTTGGCAATCTCGGTTTGTGTGTAATGGAGCTGACAGCAGGTACAGGCTAAACAGGGGATCGGACGCCCACAAGGCTAATAATGGCGATATGGTTTGCGGCCTTTGCATTGATGAGATGGATTGGGTATTAGGCGAAGGGGTTCGGTTGGGGCCATTATAGCACGGGCCGCGCAGCGGGCCTGATGGAATGGTGATCGAGGGAGCATTGGTAATGGGTACGGACATGGAGCTTCGCAGCTTACGGTCGTGTCGAGTGCTGCAGGTACTTTATCCGTGTGCATCTTCAACGGCGTTTGGTCTGATTTGGGAGGTGCCGGTGTGATAGTGATAATAAGGCACATGGGCGGGATAGAATGGGCAGGCACTAATAGTGTGTGTGTGTGCCCCGGGGCAAACAGCACTGGACGACTCGAGGTGTTTTTCCTTCCGTACGAGATTCCCCGAATGCTTGTTCCGTCTGCTGTTGGAGGTTAGTGGCATCAGCAATCATGTCATGGTCTGCCAGGTCGCCTGCAGGCACAGTCCGGGGTTCTCCAAGGCCTCGACTCCCGATAACGCGTACCAGAGTGTTGGCATGTAACTGTGCCGCAGCAGAGATCCGCTTGCCGAACCTTGAATGTCAGGCAGTTCCGTGTCTGGCTGCGTCAAGCGCCTGAATCGATTTATTTGTCTTCCTTTTTTTGCTTCTGCATTCTACTGCACCCACTCTGCAGTCCTTGGTACGCGCTTCCCATGGCACAGTCCCTCGCAATGGATGCCGGATTGTCGCAGCGCACGCAAAAGGCATTGCGGGAGCTTCTCCCTACCTTCGCGGCAGGCGCCCCACAACAACAACCTCCTCCTCCACATATCACCGACCCCTTCCCCCCAACCATTGATCTGTCTCGTGGCCTCAACGAAGCCATCCATCCCGAGCTGCTCGAGTTCTTCCACAGTACTCTGGAGGATAACATTGCGAGCGAGGTCCCTAGCCCTAGACCAAGCAAAGTTGTGCTTCCCCACTAACCTTCTAGACAGGCATTTGCAGCCCCCGCAGCATCAGTAAATGGCGGCGATCAGCGACTCCGCTATGCACTAGCCGCCTTTTTTAATTCATACTTCAATCCCATCCACACCGTGAAGCCGGAGCACATTGTCCTTACATCGGGAGCCGTTGATGCTGTCGAGAACGTCATCCACGCCATTTGTGACGATGGCGACTGCATCCTCGCTCCCGGCCCACATTGGTGTATGTATTATGTACCATCTTGAGAGTATATCATAATATGCAGAACCACGAACGCTGAGAAATACTACAGCTGGCTTCGAAACAATACTAAAGAGAAAAGCCAATGTAGAGCTGATTGTTGCCAAACCACCCACCTACTCACATTGGGACAACTATCTTCTCCCTTCACTCCAAGCAGCCTACGATTTCTCAGATAAGCGGTCACGCATCAAGGCCGTGCTGCTGTGCAATCCCAATAACCCGCTTTCAAGATGCTACCCCCGCGAAACATTGCTTGAGCTCATGGAGTTTTGCCAAGAAAGAGGGTTGCATCTCATCTGCGATGAAGTCTACGCTCTCCTCAAGCTGTCCGGGACAGATAGCAAAGCCCCGGACTTTGTCAGCGCACTCAGCCTGACGGAACCGCTTGCACGCGCCGGAGCAGTCAAGGTGGATCCGAGCCGCGTCCACGTCGTATGGAGCGCCAGTAAATTATTCGGCATGAGCGGATTCAGAGTGGTACGCAGTTCTACTTCCAAGTCTTGGTCGGATAGCTTCATTTTGATCAAGTGTCTGTGTTAACTGTGATAATTTAGGGATGTCTCGTATCGCAGCAAAACCCCTCCCTCCTACACGCCATGGCACTAACTTCCACTCACCCTTCCTCACTCTCAACATCGCATCTCTCCGGTCTCTTGTCTTGGTCCCAACTCCCCACCCTCCTCGCCCTCAACTCGGAGCGTCTAACCATCAACTACAAGATGCTAGCCGCCGTCTTGCGCAAACATGACGTACCGTTTCTTGCGCCCTCCCATGGTCTCTGCATGTTCGTCCGCCTGGCGAAACGCGCGAGGACGCAGCATGACGAAGCGAGGTTTTACGATGACCTGGCCAGATGGGGCGGTGTCATGGTTGCTCAAGGAAAGAGCTTCAGAGGCGTAGAGAGGGATTTTGGGTGGGCGAGACTGAGGTTCTCGGTGCCTGTTGCGGAGATGGAGGATGCAGTTAGGAGAATAGATGTTTTTCTGGAGAAGCATGGGTAAGAAGGGACTTGGAGGTTGGGAGAAAAAAAGTGATATAGAGGCTGTTTTCCTTAACATGAGAAAGCGTTCTTATTTCTGGGTTCATGTCATGACGCATATCGTTTCTTTCATAGTCTCTTAATATCCCATTACACTTGATATTGTGGTATACTTTGTGTTTCATGGAGAGTTGGAGATAGTTGTTTGTGCAATAAACCTGAATAGACTTTCCGAGGTTGGTGTTGAACTGAATATTCTACATTAAGGCTTTTTTTCCCGTTCCATGTAACCAAAATGTGCTCCCACAAGACAAAATATGTTAACATCTCGTCTCATCTTATCGTATTGTCTCTTCTCATTTCAAACCCTTCCATTCCCATATATACCTACAACACTCCCTCATCCCTCCCCGATCCATCCTCCCCTTACGCCACCTTCCCCAACACCCCCTCATTCTCCTCAATATACCTGACCAAATCCTCAATCGTACAAACCTTAATCCCCCACTTCTTACCAAACTCCAAGCACTCATCCCTTCTCATCATACCGCCATTCTGAAACTCAGGTTTGCCAGGCACCTCCTCACCATCAGTGATGAGCTCACAAATAACACCGACGGGCTCTTTACCCGCCAGACGACACAAATCGACGGCGGCCTCGGTATGTCCCATGCGCTCCCTTACGCCGCCATCGCGAGCTTGGAGGGGCAAGATGTGACCTGGGCGGCGAAAATGGCTTGCTTTTGCGCTGGGGTCGGCGAGCATGCGGCAGGTGAGGCTGCGGTCGTGGGCCGAGATACCGGTTGTGACGGAGGGGTCTACAGCGTCGATGCTGACGGCGTAGGCGGTGCGGTTGGGGTCTGCGTTGTCGGCCACCATTTGCGGGAGGTGCAGGGCGGCGGCGCGCGAGACGGGGAGGGGCGCGCAGATGTAGCCTGAGCTGTAGCGGATCATGAAGGAAGCTTTAGAGGGGGTTAAGGCTGAAGCGGCGATGATGAGGTCGCCTTCGTTCTCACGCGACGGCGAGTCGAGGACGATTACGAATTCGTCATTTGCTGTGGCGGGGTGAGTTAGTGGGTAGGCTTCTTCAGGTCGAGGTTGGGCATAGACGTACCGAATGCTTGTATTACATCTGGTATCGAGTCGAATGCTGGGTGTGAGGGTGTGGAATTGATCGTTTCTTTCGTGTTGCCGTTGACGCCCTTTGTGCCGTTGGCGGGCAGCCCGTTCTCCAGCTCTGCAGTCATACTTTCAAGTGTAACTTTTTTCTCTTCGTCTCTTCTCTTCTTTCCTTGTTTCTTCCTTTCTGCTCTTTACTTTGTCTGACGTATATGATATGTATCCAAACTCCTCTTGTGGAAAGTATATGTTATGACGCGACGAGATTACCGCGGCTATCGCTCGGCCCGTTTGACTGGTTTCGCAAGCCTCTTCCCTGACGGTTGCCAATGTACGTGCTTAGAAAACAATCTCGTAAGCGACCGTAGTTCCGCGTACCCTCGGAGCCCCAAATCTTTTCTATGTGCAAGTGGGCGGGCGTGGGGAGGGGCTGAATGCAATGAAGAGTTTTGTAGTACAGGAAGATGCAAATGGTTCGGATGCTAGGGTTGTGTCAATTTTCAGGTCGCACAAAGATGACAGGTGGGTGATGGGTAGGATTATGTTGTGATTGTCTGCGGAACCGCCGTTCGGATGTCCCGATGTCACTAACAGATGGAGGGGTGATCAGATGCACATGCCTCGGCCTTTTTCCCCTGCGTCGGTGCGAAGCGAACCGCCGCTCCGATCCAGGCCCAGTCCATTGCTCCGACATGGCCGATGGGTCTGGCTTGTCTTGTGACATGACATCTGTGTAACGTCAGGTACCCAGGCATCACTCTTGTGCGCTAACTCATGAACCTTTAACGATTATCTCGAGGTGGCACGTGGATACACCAATTGTAAGTATATTCAATCAAAACAAAAACCAATTCCATCCCACATACAAACAAGGGTATAATTCAAGACCACTTCATCGGTCTCCAAGGATGCCGTATAGCTTCCTCTGGTTCGATGACCGGCGTCAGTGACGCTATAAAACACTAATTTAGGTACTGCTGCAGTGAATTCAACTATGCAAAAGCAGCCCTCACGCTAGAAAAAAATCAATGGAACAACTAAGCCTGCTTATCACTGACGAACTCTTTATCGCCGTGAGTAGAGCTGCCACCGCTGCGGGTCTCCGCAACGCCCTCAGTCTGAGGGCTAGACTTCCAGAAGTCCATCTTTCCACTCTTAAGCCTCTGCACCCAGGGTGGGAAGAAGCCGCCCTCAAGACGGTATGTCCAGTGCTCCTTCTCGTCCTTGTTGGGTGGAACGATACGGCCGCCAGACGCAAGCTCGAGCAGCCAGACCATAGCGTTGATGAGAATGTAGGAGCAGATACCGGCAATCAGACCATAGGCAATCGAGTATGTGAAAGGCATAACCGCAATGGTGAGGAAAGCCGGGATGGAGTCGCCCAGGTAGCGCCAGTTGATGTCCTTGGCCGAGGTAGCCATGAGGGAACCGACAATGACCAACGTACAGCCAGTGGCCCATGGCGGGATAGAGGCGAAAATCGGAGCGAAGAAGATGGAGATGAAGAAGCAGAGCCCGGTGAACATGGCAGTAAGACCAGTCTTGCCTCCCTCGGAAATACCAGCACCAGACTCAATGTACGCAGTGACGGGAGGGCAGCCCATAAGCGAGCCAATAGAAATGCCGATCGCATCTACAGAGTAGGCAATGGAAGAGTTCTCGAAATCCTGAGTGCGCTCATCAATAGCACCGCAGAAACGGGCCATGGAGTAGAGGGTACCGGTGCCTGGACATGTTAATATGTATCAAAAATGATGCATAGTGTGTAGCTTACAGTCAAGAATGTCGACATAGAGGAAGGTGATGAAAGCAAGACCCCATTGACCAGCGTGCGCCGAAACATCCCATTCTTGCACAGCCAGAATCTTGCTAATCGGGTGGAACGTAACAACCTGCTTGAAGAAATTGAAAGCGGAGTCACCAGTCTGGGTGTGCGGGAAGTAGGTGACGCTAGTGGTACGGGGCCAGGAGATGATAGACACAAGCATGATGCCAATGATAATGGCGCCTTTGACACGGTAGAGCATCAGCATGACGGTCAGGATACCGCCGCAAAAGATTCCGATCCACATGGTTGGGTTCCTCATCTTAGCACCACCTGGGCAAACGCCATCAACTTGGGCCGAGGGAACACAACCACCCAACTCAAGAGGAGTGGATTGAGCGCCAGTGATGAGACCGATACCAGCAGAGTAGGCGAGACCGATGATGGTGAGATAGAGTCCGATACCGACACCAGTAGCGAGCTTGATACTTGCGGGGATAGCCCTGGATATATGGTTAGCCTACGTATGCAGATTGAGTGGCTTCAAGTGTCAGACTGTGTCGCACAGTGCGCTGAATTCAGCCACACACACACTACAACTCTAATGAAGAGCAGAGACACCTGAGCACACAGCTAATTGGAATGACGTACCTTGCGAGCCACTGACGGATACCGAGAATGGTAAGGCCTACAAAGACGAAACCTTCGACAAAGACGGCAGTGAGTGCAACCTCGTACGGAACCATGCCTTTTACAGAAATCAGCAGAGTCCCATATAGACATCGAGTACGCCCATGACATACCTGTACCATGGAATCCGACAACAGTGTAGGCAAAGTAGGCGTTCAATCCCATTCCAGGGGCGAGTGCAATTGGCATGTTGGCGAACAGACCCATGCAGAAGGATGTCAAAGCGGAAATGGCAGCTGTGGCGGTGACGAGATCGCGTTTGATTTCCTGGACGCACAGCGCATACTCGGCGTTGGTCTCACAGATGGGGTCGTCGGGGAGTCCAGGACAAACGCATGTACCACCACTGTCTGACACGATCGATGCTGTCCATATTCATCAGATGACGAGGGTCAATGGCATTGCGCAATTGACATACAGTTTACAGAGATGATGTAGGCCATTGCGAAAAAGGTCGCGAGGCCTGCGCGGAACTCGGTGGTAAAGTAACTGCCTTTGCGCTCCTTGGGCTGTGGACTGGTCAGTGCATGTTTTGATGATGATATACTTTGGCAATGGATGTACACACATGACCGGAGCCCTCAAGGCGAAAGTACCTGCCGACGAGGGAGCTCGCGACGACGGCATTGATCTTGTGGATCAAGCCGGACATGATGCAGAAATTTCAGTGATGCCGTGGGGTGGCGATTGAGATTTTGGGGGTTGAGTGTGCGAGTGGGTGAGTGAGTGAGAGAGCGTGAGTTGCAGCGGTGCCAGTTGCCGTAAAGTGGACCAAGCTGTGAGAGGGATCGACGTCGAGCTCTGCCCTGTGGATTTGCGCCGGCAAAGAGAGCTTTTTAAGTCAAGTAAATGCGTATTACAGGACATGAAGCGCATTTAGCATGCTGCCGCACCAAAAAGATAAGGGCAGGCGGCGAGGCCCAAACCCTGTCGCGTTCGTCGTCCCACAGAGAGCCAATGGCAGATACCAGGCTGATCAGGCTTTACTCGAGCGGGTATAGGCTGACAGTCCACGCGAGCCCACATCACGGTAAGCTAGGGTGTCTCGGATTCGTGCGCGTGAAGGAGGCGGCCGGCCGGTGCTGGGTACTACTGTCGACTGGGGAAACGTACTGTAGTGAATGTGCGGCACGACACCTCGCCTGTTGCAACCAATACACTTAAGCGCATTGGTATGCTTTTCCTAGGACCGCCACGACAGTCGATCCGTATCTCTGGATGAGGGGGGGATGCGGAGGCGGCCGAGAGCGCTGTCTGAGTGACCTGTACCTACAGTTGGACTTCGCCTCTGCTATCTGGGACGAATCGCTGTTATCACGGCAGCCACAGCAGCCTCAAGGCGCACTTGACCGATTGCAAATGGAATCCTGTCAACAGTTTGGCGGCCTTGCCGGATGGGCGACCGCATCGAAATAAGGTGGGCCGAGCCAAGCGACGGTTCGCGGCGACCGGCCTAGTCGCGTTAATGGTTTTTTTTTCAGAGCACCAAGTGGAGATTTTGCCAGCCCTGGGCATTCGCAATCGCCCCAGTGCCTCCCTCACCTGCATATCCTCGCCGTTGTCGCTTCTTGCGTGACGCGACCAAGTACGCTACGCTTGTCTGCATTGCGAACAAACACACACGCCCGTCCCCATTGGGCTCTTTGCTGGGTACCGCTGCTGCTGCTGCTGATGATGATGATGATGAGCGACATCTGGCAAACAGACTTCCAGGGATGTTTGCCCGCCTACTAACCCGCATCGGGACCTCGGCCCATCCCTCACCCGCGTGGTTTGCCTTATTATCAACTCCTTGATGATACTCTGCATATGTCCTTACATACAACATCCACGCCCCTTGTAAATAATGCACCAACGGCCTTTGCACACGCCATCCCCGGAGAACAAATTCCCGTCGCTTACTCGTCCGTATTCTCATACACGACCGTATACATATATTGGTACATTCATGGACTAGGCAGTTCCTTTCTTCTGCTGCATAGCGTGCACCTGTGCAGTATGCGCCACCTGTGGACACGTCGCAAACAAGATGCCGTGGACCCTACTCTAGATCTTTGTGTTTGTTCTTCTCTTCTTGGACGACCTTTCCAATAAGCCTTCAAACATAGTACAATGCCCGTGGATACGCCAGTCTGGAGTCAGTCGTCACTTACATGTATTGAAACACCACTGAGGCTTGCGCTGTCAGCGCACATGCACTTTGTTTTGACAGCTGTCCGACAGGCCGCGGTCTTCTTGAAACGGCTGACAGGTATATACAGACCCGTGACAGCTGATTATGCCGAAATGCTATTCATTTCAAACTTTGTACGTCGTACAATCATGATCGACATGGACAGATGGACGTGCATCCATCTCAAGCGCAAACATTCCGAGGAATGTTTCTCCAAATCAGTCCAACCTCACTGTCTCGCCTCAAGAAACACCAAGAATGCGGGCGCCAACCAACAGCCGTACCAAGGCTACATACAATATGCACCATGTTTGTTTAGATGCGGGCCTAGATCAGTTCCTTGTAAGCGATTCCATGCGGCTTACCCCTTACGCTAAGAGCATGTACGCCGTCGCTGCTGGGAAAAAGAACAAACGAAGAGCTGCATTCAGCTCCGAGGGGATGGGAGCTCGCACCTAATCGACAGGCACCAGGAAAAAGAAAAAAAGGACTAACAACTCTTGCCGACAGTCAAGAAGATTACGTCTTCATGGGGCTTTGGCAAGCTGTTCTCAGTGACTGCTACCACTACAATCCGGGGAGTCTAGTTCTTGTCCCCATCAGCCGAAAGTTAGATTTCTAACGTCTTCTTGTAATCGCAAATTACCTTTTCAGAACGCGGGAACTGAGAAACAGAGAATGTTCGAGCCAGATGGTCGCATGGGTTGTGGTCAATGTTGCCCATAATCCAGCATAACCAAGGTAAAAGTGAGCCAATGCGGCCATGTTGAGCTGCTTGGCAATGGAATTTGGGCCACCAGTTGTGAAGCGTGTGACATTTAAAACATTCAAAGACACTGTCGTCGGAGCGAAGAACTCGCCCTCTATACCATTTCGCTTGACATACCCAATCTAGTGCAAGGCGATCCTGTAACTAACAGCACAACCATCCAAGGATCAAAGCCCGGAAATAAGACGCAAACCCACTATAGAGCATCAAGTTAGGCCGGACCAGATTTACGAGATCTTCATATTTGTCGGGTCGATTCGCAGAATACTCGGACGAGGTGTAATAGTATCCACATACGGATGCACAGAATTTCACATGTGTGGATGTGGACTTTGGCTAGTCGCATGATCCTTGCTAACCGGCATGGATAGAGGATTTTTAGTAGCAGCGGACCCTGACCTCATAGTCGAGGTGAGAGATGGGGTTCTCGCAGCTCGCAAAGTCCATTGTCGAGGTAGAGAAGTCCCAATAAAATGATGTAATGTTTTAGCGATGTTGAGGCGCAGATGCTGTGGAGTATCACCGCCACACTCTCAAGCCACTGGATGATCAACAATGACGTATGCCAGTCTGGAACTCTGTAACCTTGTCTGTCGCGTGGACCTCTTCTACAATGACACCCGTCGACTCGTGAGACCCAATACACGTCCTATTAGCTTGCCATTGCACCTGCAGATAGCCTCAGTCAGTCTGCCAGTCATGAGACATCGACTGATCGCGTTGGCATCGCTCCCTCGCGTCAGCACGCTTCCGTCGGCCCGCTGTGCACCCTTATTTACTCGCAGTTCTCCTGCTGCATCAATACGACAAGGCGTGTTCTCACAACTTCGATGCTTGACAAATCGGAGACAATCGGACCTTGACAAATATGGCGATTACTCAAATAGCAATGCCAGGCCCGCTGCAGAACTCAACGAAAACATAACGCAGGAGGAGAAGGACCATTTCGCACAGAAGCTGAAAGAAGACAAGGGCAAGCAGATACGCACGCCATGGCATAGAGAGGGAAGCGATACGCCGCCTGTTGCGCGACAGAGGAGTGCTGGAGCGATGACCAAGGGCATGTTTTTGCTAATGAATACACGAAGACAATTGTTAACACGAGACAGGGAAATTGTTAACTACACCGTCTCGCATGCTGAAGATCATTCTCCCCCTCACCACTAGCGACCAGAATACCGATCGCAAGGACATTGAACCGCTGGCACTCCTGGTACATCCACAGCAGCCTATCTCATATCTTGAGCGTCTGATACAGGCTGAGCTTCCTACAATCAAAGACAAGCAAGGTCGTGAGCGGCAGCCACACGTGTACTTTCGGGCTGAAGATTCAGTACAACCAGAGGAAGAGTCAGGGGACACGAAGAAAACGCCAGTCAGCAGTGAAAAGGAAAGCTTGAGCCAACAAGAAGGAGAAGAAGACTTTGAGCAGGTCGATGAGATCCGCATCGACGGTAAAATCCACAAGACAGGCAAACTTGGCACGCGCGATAGGATGATGCCAGAACAAGCAGAGGAGCTACGAGGTGGGCCCGGAGAGGGAGGGGTAGAGTCGTACTCTGGCCAAGGTCACGAGGCCTCTTCAGACAAAGAAGGAGAGCGCAGATTTGTACGATGGTCTTCGTCGACCGAGATTGGTGACTTCATTCGTGACGCTGCCCGAGGGCAAGAGTTTGCAATTGAGATCGAAGGCGCGCCCGAAGAAATCCGAGTTGGTGTGCCCAGCTTCAACGACAGAACTTACTATCTGCGAATGCGGTTACGTAAAATATCAAAGAAGATTAGCGCCATGGCCGACGTCAAGAAGGAGTGCGATGATCTAGCGCAGCTGGGTGCCAAAAGGGTAGCCATGGCTGGGTTTGGTGGAATTGTAGGATGGTGGTGCGTTGTCTATTACCTCACGTTCCAGACTGAGCTAGGATGGGACGTTATGGAACCTGTGACGGTAAGCTTCTTCAAACTCACTGTTTAGACTGTGCAAGGCTAACATGACTGCAGTATCTTGTTGGTCTTTCGACACTTATTGGTGGTTACGTCTGGTTCCTGTACCATAACCGCGAAGTTAGTTATCGTTCGGCCATGAACTTTACTGTGTCTCGTCGACAGCAGAAACTCTACCAGCAGCACAACTTTGATCTGCGCAAGTGGGAGGCGCTGATTGAAGATGGCAACACTCTCCGCAAGGAAATCAAAGCGATTGCGAACGAATACGATGTTGAGTGGGATGAGCTGCAGGACGAAAAGGATGAAAAGGTGCAGCAGGCGCTTAAGAATGAGCGCCGCCGCAAGGAAGAGAAGAAGAAGAGCAAGGATGATGATGACGAGCCGGTTCCGGTAACCAAGGACGAGAAAGGCAGTAAGTAGAGTGCGCATGGCGGAGTTTACTAAGTTTGGCATTGTGGTTTTTGCGGATTAGGCATTTGAGCGTGGCGTTTTGGGAAGGATGCACGGTATATACATAGATAGACATACCCCAGCATGTTGTGCTAAGCATTACAACCGAAAGTTTGTCAGTCACACGCAGCAGATGTGTGGTGTCAGAGTGAGAGCATCAGCATGTGTCATGGATGGAGAGCGTTGGAGTGTGATGGGGGTTGGGACGAAAGAAGTGGGGCCGAGTGGTGCTACTAATAATATCGCGGCGTGTGGGGATGCATGGCGTTCGAGTGCCGCGCCGCATGCACCCTGCACGGCACTCGGATACTTACTTTGGACAGGGTAACATGGCAAGTGTCCGCGTACAGCAGCACCACGGACGCACTGGACTGACTGACTGACTGACTGACTGACTGACCGGAGCAGGGACATGGCCACCGTCGACAAACGGACTAGAGGGCGCAGTATCAGGAGACACGCACATGGAGCGCCATGCAGGCTGGGGACATGCAGTGGGCATCTTCTTTACTTAGCCGCCGACGTCTTGTCGACGGGCAGGGATGGTGCAGGTGGCCCTGGTCGCCGAGTGCATCAAGGGGCGCCCATTCGCTGGACAAGCAACAGTCAAGACTGCCTCTAAACCCGTGTGCGCCGCCATGATCGCCGCCGAACCGCCAGGCGTCGAATTGGCCGCCGTCGTCCATCTTCACCCTTTCACCAATACACAGCAGCATGACCCTGCAGTCTCGTCTAGGGTGACAACCACCCGCCTGGCGCAGCGCCCCATCGTCGCCCGCTCTCTCCTCTGCTGCTGGATTCGCCCACGCCCGCTCGTCGGAGCCGCTGAGGGCTAACTGTTCTCGTCGACGAACCCAGCACGGAGTAAAACCGAGAGGACGATTGCTCCTCCATACATACTAGTCGCTATGGCTTCAGAGCAGGCCTACAGTCCTGCCCCACCGCCTTCTCCCCGACTGCCTCCCCCGCCGCCTTCACCGCATCCCACTCACCTCCAGGCGCCGCAGATATCTCCCAGGCGCTTCGCTGTGCAACCGCCACTTCTCAACACCACCCTTGCGCCACCGCCGCCCTCTGGTCCCGCCTATCTGCATGGCTCCACGCCCGTTACGGCCTCGTCGCTGAGCCTGCCCTTCTCGCCCTCACTCACGCCCTCGACGTATGCGCCCTCTCCCGTCGCGGCTGCTTCACCCATGGCCATGCGAGGCTCTGCTCCAGCCGCGCCGTACAATCCCCAACAATGGTCGCGGGGTGGGAGTGTCAATGGACAGCATGTCCAGCACAGCCAGATATCGGTGCCCTCGAGGCTGCATGACGTGACGGGCATGGAAGGTACACGCAATTTTTCTCTTTCTTCTCTCCTCCCTAGGCTATGTAGTAGATTCCGTAGACCTGCTTTCCTTCTCTCTCAAGTGTGCAACAAATCCTGTGTCGAGCATATCATGGCATTGTGCACTCCTTCCTCACCGCCGAGACAATCGACTCGACACATCAAAATGGGTGATGCTAACACTACCAGCCTCGATGCCCTCCCCGCCACCTCCATATTCGCCTGGTCAGAACCCAAACATCTCGCAGTCACTGAGCACCAGCACCACTTCGTCGCCACAGCTCACTGCCAATACGTTTCCCCACCCTCCGCCGCCCCCGCCGCCGACCAGCAATCCGCCATCGGCGCGTCCCATCTCAGGCTACCACAGTCGGCCTACCTCCATTGTCATACCCTCGAGCGCCACAAGTGTGATATCGAACCAGCAGTTTCCCCCTCCACCGGGAAGGAACGGTACAGGTCGGTCGGCGTCGCGCGACAAACTGACTTCCAAGTTCAGCCTTTCGTCCTTTAGGAATCGGAACAGTGACCATAGCCCTGCTCCGAGCAACATTGATTCGCTTCATATCAGTACTTCTGATGCCATCCAGAGAGCACCTGCTTCCCCTGGGCTGGTTGCACAGCGAGCTACGTCGACGTATGTCCACGAACAAATCAAGCAGGTATGATGCCAAGACTAACATTGAGACAGCTACACACCAAATGCATTCCTGGATCGACGGTACAGTCCCGATACGCAGTCACCTATCAGACCCCCGACTTCTCGAAGGGCGGCTTCTGCCGGTGTACCAGGCTATGAGACTCGGACACCCATCGATGAATCGCCCATTGTCCCACCAGGAAGCTGGAATCGTAATGTGCCATTACCCCCGCCCCCGCCCGGCCCTCCTCCCAGCAGTTCGAGGTCGCAGAGTATGGGACCTGGAGCAGAACCAAGCTCTAGCCGAATGCCTGTGTTGCCCTCGGCGCCCCCAACGAGAAGACCTGGTCAGACGTCATTAACACCAATCCCACCGACGCCCATGGGTTGGCAAGATGAGTCGACAAACCTTCGTCCAAGATCACCTGCAGCTCATGGCCTGTATATCGACACAAGCCCCCCTACCGTTCGCTCTTCCGAACAGCCCGCAGCATCATCAGAGAGTGGAAGCGTTTCGATTTCGTCTGGGCCAACCACCACATCAGGTTCGAACAGCACTTTGTATCAAACTCCAAACAGACGCGATGCAAGCACACGAGGCATCCGGGAGCGAAGGAGTGAGAGCCGAGCGGCGCGGGAACAACGAGCCGAACCGAGTAACAACCCATGGGCGCAAGATCTAGAGAACGAAGCCGCAAAGCCTGCCAATCTCGATTTGGGAACACCCGAAGGTGGTTTGACCCGCCGTGGCGCTGTCACCAGGGGTACGCCAAAGAGCAGTGGGCCAAGAAGCGGAAATATCTTTGAAGATTCTGGGTCAACAAACTCTACACCTCGAATCGATGCACCCCCCAGGTCTGCACTTGCCGGGGCGCCGACGCCGCCTTTTTCGCCAGGTATGGAACATCTCAGTCGTTCAGCCCAGAAAGCTCCAGTCCCGCTCCCTTCCAAAGCGCTACCCACCCCACCACTCCATATTTATGGAGATGAGAGAGATGCAGACCTGACTCGTCAATCAGAAGCTGCAAACGATTCGGCCATGAATACACCAAGTACCTCTCGTGTCGGGGGCCCGGATTCTACGGTAACCACACCTAGGCCGGCGGGCATTCATGCCTTTGCCCGTGCCTCTATGGAACGTCATCGACAGTTCATTGAGAAAGAGATGGCTGCCGAAACCGATCAAGACAGACTGGAGTTGTTTGCAGAGTTTATTGTAACTGAATCTCGACTCCGCCGGGATCGTTACTCTGGGGCTTTCGATGCCATGGCGGGCGATATCATGGATTTAACGAGAGACTTGTGGCGCTCCTATGGCAATTCGGGACGCAGGTCAGTCACGCCAAACACGCAAAAGACCCCCGCAGGACATGCCAGCAGAAGGTCGCAAGGGTCTGTCGCAGGAGAATCTCCTGACACTCGCTTCTCCAATTCGATGCCTACGACCGCTGCGAGTCCTGCATCATCAATTGGCAACTTTACTCCTCATACAGAACCTGCTTCACCCTCTAGTGCCTCAAGCCAGAAAGCTCGGGATGCGTCTTGGGTTAATAACTACCACCCCTCGCTCTCGCCTATCCCTAGCATGGCCATGAGTACTATTCCTGATGAACAAGACTCAAGAGGTCGGTCCGCAAGCCGTTGGTGGGAGAGTGATGGCGGATCTTCTGGAGTTGGTGGTGGAAGGAGATTGGAGCGAAGCAAAAGAGAGTCCAAGTACATGAGTTTGCCGAAAGAAGCTCGTGAAAGTCTGCAGTGGGCCGGTATGGATGCGAACGCTCCAAGGCAGCGAGGCGAATCCAGTAGTCGACCAGCGTATGGACCCAATGAATACCCACCGGAGAAGGTTGGCCTGCATGAGGAAGGCCAACAGCCGCTGCCGCAACAGCAGCAACAGCTACAGCAGCAACAACAGGGCTACGGCTACTACCAGAGATCCGCTACGGCAACGCCTGACCCTGATAAGCTGGATGTGTCGCGGCTTGTCACGCTCCCCCCTTCGTACCCACGACATCACCCCGCTGTCAACAACAGTCACCCAGATCTGGCCAGTATCCGAAGCAGTTTGCGAACTCTCTCGGAACTCGATGAAGTTAAGAACACCAAGGTGAAATTTAACACAAAGATCGAGGCTCGAAAAGAACAAGAGAATGCATCTTTGTCTGACCGACGCGCGCAACTGAGATATAACATTCAGGATAATGTCCGGAATGGGGTCATGTCGTTTGCTGATGCCGCTAAAGCAGAGGCAGACTTTGAGAGTCGCGAGCATCAAAGGGCACAGGACGTAGTCCAATGGATATTCGACACATTCCAGGCAGAAGTGGCCAATCCACTCCATGCCATGTTCTGCGAGCGCATCACCAAGGCTACAGCTTCCATGGAGCACCTTAAAGGACGCTTGAAACAGGAGCCAGATCCCAATCAGACACAAGAAGAGGGTGACGAAAAACCAGAGCTTCTAGAGATGCTTACTTTGCTCAAGTGGCTGTTTGAGGCGCGGGAACAACTACATAAAGAGATGTACGAGTTGGAAGATGAACGAAATGACCTTTATCGGGACATCATTGTTTTGCCTTATGTTCAAACCAAGAACGAACAAAAGGTAAAGGAAGCCACAAGCTTCTTCCGGCACGACGGCCAAGATCGCAAAGTTGCCTTTGAGAAGGAAACACTCAAACGCTACGAAGACTTTATAGACGTCATTGAACGAAACGTGACGCGGGGAGTTGAGACTCAGCTTTCTGCTTTCTGGGATATTGCACCAGGCCTGCTTGCTATTGTACAGCAGGTTCCTCGAAACCTACAAGGCTTTGGGATCCTGGTGCCGCCTCAAGAGTACGAGGAGACACCAGCCTATCACGACTACCCGCTACAGTATCTCTACACTCTTCTCGCACACGCTGGTCGCTCTGCGTATCAGTTCATCGAGTCGCAGATTAATTTGTTGTGTCTATTGCACGAGGTCAAGACAGGCGTCATGACTGCAGGTTCACGACTCCTCGAAACACAAAGGCTTCTAGAGGGTGAGGATCTAGCAGGGGTAAACCAAGAGATGAAGGCTATTAGGGCTGATGAAGAGAGGAGATTGACTGATGACTTGAAGGAGAAGGTTGGCCTAGTGGAGAGCCAATGGAATGAAGCGCTTGGACAAGGCTTGGAAGACTGCAAACGACGCGTGGAGGAGCATCTGGCAGAGCAAGGGGGTTGGGATGACACTCTGCGAGAGTGAATGGAGCATATGGGTACATGGTTCATGACTTTGCTGTCCTTTTCTTTCTGTATTCACGCACCGTATCGATACCCGTTTGAAACGTCTGTTTGGGCAGCCGTTGGATACAAAATTACTGTTTGGCAGTTTTCTGACTATGACATGGTTACGCCCGGCGAGTGCGGTTGCTTCCGTCGTACAGGATCGGTGTTCAGTTGATGTGCATGGCCCTGCAGCATGCACTTGCTACACCAGGATATCTGGCCTCCACCGACTACCCCTCACTGCACTACTGACCGTCTTCTCCTTTTGCTGTGCTAGTCACAGGGGCCAATCACACTTGGTGCTTCGTTTTCATCTCTCCTGAAGAGATGCGCTTGGCAAACATCGCTGAAATGATGTTTTTGGCCTCAAACGCCCCTTCTTCCCACCTGGGCGCACTATCTGACATGTGATACAAAGGATCCACCATTCTGATAACCGTTATACTTGTCTGTGGTGGGTGTTCACAGGATCAGACGCAAGAGATGGGCTTTACGCTGATCTGCTCTCGAAACTTGGACGCAGTTGCGCCCTGGTCTGCCCTTCTGTTGTCATTGTCAGTCGTACTGCAGCCTTCTTTCATTCACCGCCTTGGCTGCGGCACCCCCAAACCGGCTAGTGGGGAAAGCGCACGGACCATCAAAAAAAACGCCGCACACACCTGCCCATAAAGACTGATGACTTCGTCGTGTCTGCCACCTCCAACGCTTACCCACCCCAACAACACTCACCAGCTCTTCCAGCCCCGGTTCCCAGTGGACCGTACATAACACAAAAAGAAACAAAAAAATACAGAAAACAACAAGAAAAGCCCGTCCGACGACGACAACCACCCACTCTTCGTCTCGTCCTGTCGCCTATACCCGACAGACGTCTTGCTTGAGTCCTCCTTTTTCGCCCAGAAGAAGAAAATCAGTGTGTCCGCAGCAACTCTGCTCTTGGACCGCTTCTACCGCTTCTGCTACCCCGCACGGCTCCTGTTGCAACTTTCAGCAAGGTTCAGGTGAGTGTCCTAAACTTTTTTTGCGAAGCGAGCGCACCTGCCCAAGTCACGCATGCGCCTGCCCGCAATATTTGTTCACGCTACTTTCTGTCGCTCAACTGACACCCCGCCTTGTAGATAGACACCATGTCTGAAGTCGCAAACTCCACCTCGCCCGTCCAGGACGGTGCTGACGCCAACGGCGCTCAGATCAACACCAACGTCGCTGCTGCCCAGGCCGAAGCCCCCACCCCGACCTCTGCAGCCCCCGCCCATAACCAAAACTCGGCCTCGCTCTATGTCGGCGAGCTCGACCCTTCTGTCACCGAAGCCATGCTCTTCGAGCTGTTCTCTTCCATTGGCCAAGTCGCTTCCATCCGTGTCTGCCGTGACGCTGTTACCCGTCGCTCGCTCGGTTACGCCTATGTTAACTACAACAGCTCTGAGGACGGCGAGAAGGCCCTCGAAGAGCTCAATTACACTGTTATCAAGGGCAAGCCTTGCCGTATCATGTGGTCCCAGCGTGACCCCGCTCTGCGCAAGACTGGCCAAGGCAACGTTTTCATCAAGAACCTGGACCATGCCATTGACAACAAGGCACTTCACGACACCTTCGCCGCTTTCGGTAACATCCTCAGCTGCAAGGTCGCTCAGGATGAGCTTGGCAACTCCAAGGGTTACGGATTCGTTCACTACGAAACCGCCGAGGCTGCCAACAACGCCATCAAGCACGTTAACGGTATGTTGTTGAACGAGAAGAAGGTTTTTGTCGGCCACCACATCCCCAAGAAGGAGCGCATGAGCAAGTTCGAGGAGATGAAGGCCAACTTCACCAACATCTACGTCAAGAACATTGACCTTGATGTCTCCGACGAGGAGTTCCGTGAGCTCTTCGAGAAGCACGGTGACATCACTTCTGCGTCCATTGCTCGCGACGAGCAGGGAAAGAGCCGCGGGTTCGGCTTTGTCAACTACATCAAGCACGAGGCTGCCTCTGCTGCCGTTGACGCCCTCAACGATACTGACTTCCGCGGTCAGAAGCTCTACGTCGGCCGTGCCCAGAAGAAGCACGAGCGTGAGGAGGAGCTACGCAAGCAGTACGAGGCCGCCCGCCTCGAGAAGCAGTCCAAGTACCAGGGTGTCAACCTGTACATCAAGAACCTCAATGATGATGTTGATGACGAGAAACTGCGCGACATGTTCACTCCTTTCGGTACCATCACCTCCGCCAAGGTCATGCGCGATGCCATGCCTGCTGAGCGCTCTGAGACCCCTGGCGATGAGAAGAAGGAGGAGCCCAAGGAGGAGGCTGAGAAGACTGAGGAGCCCAAGGAGGGCGCTGATGACAAGAAGGACGAGAACAAGCCTGGTGAGAAGGTCACCATCAAGGGCGAGAAGAAGATTCTTGGCAAGAGCAAGGGCTTCGGTTTCGTCTGCTTTAGCAACCCCGATGAGGCTACCAAGGCTGTCACCGAGATGAACCAGAAGATGATCGATGGCAAGCCCCTCTACGTTGCTCTTGCCCAGCGCAAGGACGTCCGCAAGAACCAGCTTGAGGCTACCATCCAGGCTCGCAACCAGCTCCGTATGCAGCAACAGCAACAGCAGCAGTTCGGTGGCATTCCTCAGATGTTCATTGCCCCTGGTCAGCAGCCCATGATGTTCCCTGCTGGTGGTCGCGGTCAGATGCCATTCCCCGCTGGTATGCCCGGCCAACAAGGTGGCCGTGGTGCTGGCTTCCCTGGCGGTATGCCTGGTCAGCAAGGCGGCCGTGGCGGCCCCAACGGTCAGCAGATGCCTCCCATGTACATGCCCCCTGGCATGGCTCCCGGTGCCTTCCCTCCTTCGTACATGAACCAGCAGTACATGCAGCTGGCACAGGCTGCACAGCAAGCCATGGGCGGACGTGGTGGTCGCGGCGGTGTCCCTATGGCTCCTATGCCTGGTATGCCACAAGTCCCCATGGCCGGTGGTCCGGGTATGCGTGGCGGTCAGGGATTCCCTCCTCAAGGTGCTGGTCGCGGCAACATGCCCCAGGGCGGCCGACCTGGTCAGTCTCCCATGCCCGGTTACCCTCAAGGCGGACGCGGCGGTCCTGCCGGCGCTGGTGTCGACATGAGCGCTCTGAGCGGCGCTGCTCCTGGTCAGCAGAAGCAGATGCTCGGTGAGGCTCTCTACCCCAAGATTGCTGAAATGCAGCCCGAGCTCGCTGGCAAGATCACCGGTATGCTTCTCGAGATGGACAACAGCGAGTTGATCAACCTGTATGTATCACCTTCCCCTTGTTTTGCTTAGCCGTTGTACTAACCTATCCAGTACTTCTGACGAGGCAGCTCTGCGCGCCAAGGTTGAGGAGGCTATGAGCGTCTATGACGAATATGTCAAGAACAAAGAGGGTGAGCCCGAAGAGAAAGCCCCCAAGGAGGAGCCCAAAGAGGAGAAAGCTTAAACCTCTTTCTAGTTGCCACTGAGTAGGGTTCGGTCCGCGATACCTTCGAACGGCAGCAAGTTATGATGGTCGGATGATTTCCTTGAATGGCGAATGGCGCACGAGTAACGGTTTTCTCATGACACGGGACGGCTTTCATGACCGATTGTACCCCAAAAGTTTCTTATGATTCGATGTCCCCTCCTTTTACATTTTCGATGAGTCGTGGCCCTGCGGCGAGTCGACAACAATACTTTCTTTTGGCGACTGACTCCTTGATTGGAACGTCGGACGTCATGACTAGGGTCGCCCAAACTCTGTCTTACGAGTCGGGTGGCCCCTCTTTTCTTCCCAACGTTTCCTTTTTTCACTGATTTGTTTTTCCTATGTATGATAGACGGCACCCCGTCCCTGACGACACAGGATGAGTGGGTGTGCGGTGGGACTTTGTTCGCGCAAACAGTTTGATACCTCAGAAGCCAGGCTCTCCCATCAATGGTTGACGGGGCTGGCTTTCAGCGTAACGGAATTTCGGCGTCTCGAATTCGGACTGGGAATGGGAAAGGGGATTATGGATGATGGAATGAAAGGGTAGATGATAGTGTGGATGTGGGGTGGTGCATAGTGTTAGCAGGTATTCGAGGCCATCTGGTAAAAAGACTGGATAGCTCGAAGCGAGAATGGCGGCTATGTTAGGGAATATAGTTTTATACCCCGAATAGAAGTTGCAAATGCTCAGTCATGTCTTGATGATGGTGACGATGATGGAGTTGTTTTGATAAGGACGTTGCGAGGTGAATTCATCACGTCCACTGCCCAGGTTCCCTTGAAAAGTAGGTGGATATCATTCAGTCTCACGTCATTATACAACCTTACATAAAACTACTGCTAGGATATATTGCAAAGATACGTCGATTAGCTTTTTTTGCACTCGTCCCAACCGCGTAAAACATCGCAAGGCCATTACTTCTGATACTTCTTGTGCGCATCAATGACTTTTTGTACCTCACCTTCTGAACCCAGGAAGATACCGGATCGGTCGTGAATGTGCTCGGGCACAACCTCGAGCATGCGCTTCATGCTGCTATTTACTGCCAAACCGCCAGCTGCATAGTTTGTTAGCGTCATTCAAAGAACCAATCTTGAATGAGGGAAAAGAAAGAGCTAACGTACCATTTTCAAAAACCATAGCCATAGGAGCGCACTCGTACAGAATACGAAGCTTGCCCTTGGGAGTCTTCTTATCGGCAGGGTAGGCAAAGATGCCTCCGTACAGCAGTGTTCGGTACGCATCTGCCACCATGGAACCAATGTAGCGCGCACTGTATGGCTTTCCGCCCTCGGGAGGGTTCTTCAAGCTCTCGCACCACTCCTTGACGGGCTGTTCCCAGTACATGCTGTTTCCCTCGTTGACCGAGTATATTGATCGTGTCTTGGGGCACTTCATGTTAGGGTGTGTGAGGATGAACTCGCCAAAGGCGTTGTCGAGGGTGAAGCCGTTGACGTTGCCGCCCTTCATGGTGATGACCAATTGGGCAGAGGCGCCGTACATGGTGAAGCCTGAGGCGACCATCTCGGTGCCGGGGAGGAGGAGCTCCTCTTTTGTGCCCTTTGCGCCTTCTGGGAGCTTGTACACGGCGAAGATGGTGCCGACGGAGACACCGGCGTCGAGGTTAGAGGAACCGTCGATGGGATCGCAGGCTACGGCGTAACGCGCATTGGGGTATTCGTCAAAGATGATGGCTTCTTCTTGCTCCTCGGAAATGAGGAGGCGCACGCGACCTGACGAGCGCATTGCGCTGATGAAGAGCTCATCGCCAATCACGTCGAGCTTCTTCTGGTCATCACCGGTTGTGTTGGATGTGCCTTGGAGGCCAGTGAGCTGCTCAAGTCAGTTTGTGGGTACGGATAATCTTTGAGGGAATTTGCCTACATTGATTAATGACGCTCTCCGAATGTAGTAAGCAATGCTCTTGAAGGCAAACTGGAGCGCGTGACATAGCAGTCTGTAGCAAAACAGTTAGTTTTTCCGTGTCAGGACGATCCGGAAAAATTAACGCACGTGAAATCTCCCGTCGCCTCCTTGACTTTTGTTTGCTCTTCGGTCAGGAATCGAGTGAGGGTGATGATGTTGGTGTTGATCTTCTCCTGAGCAACTGGATTGCTGTCGCCGTTTGTGGTGGAAGCCATTGTGAGCGTATATGTATGTGTGCGACAATATAATACAGTTCACGACAGAGGATTGCTGCAACGGGGGTGTGGACGAGGCGCAATGGAGAAGGTGTATGAGCGGAGAAGGAAAGATGGGAAAGATGGATGTGGGAGATGGAGAAGCTTGGGAGACGATGGTGAAAATCTATGCGGTTCAATTGAAGCAAAAAGCGGAGCTGAGGTTTGTTATGAAGTCAGGGTGGGTAGAGTCGGACAGGCGGACCACACTTCTGTGGCATTTGTTTGGCAGATGCGTTGGCCGGAATGGAGCGAGCCAGCAAGCTATAGCCATCCCTCGGCAACTGATCGGGCGTCACAGGACACTTCACGATGTTCCAGCCGCATGTGTCAGCCACGGGCGATCCGAAGGAAGACCGACGGTCGCGACAAGTAGAGCCGACGAGGAATGGGTGAGGGTGTCTGGGTATTGCCGAGGAGAGGATATGGACGCGCTTTGTTGCGGGAGCGCGTAGTTGGAGGCGAAGATGCATGTGCGGAGACGCAAAAAAGTGGAGGGGCTGCAGCGAGGGGTGAGCGGGGCGGGCTGGCTCCTCCCCCACCGCCCACTGACGTCTTTCCGACCTGTTCCGACCCGCGGACGTGACGGCACACGACCACCCTGCCTTACCCGCTGCCCTTTGTTTATCCGCGCAGCCACGTGATCTCAGCAAAGAATTACCAAAAACAGAGCACAGCCCATGTCAGCCCACGGCAGATAACAACATAGTAACAAGGTAAGATCCAGCTTTTGATACTCTACACGCAGTAAACCTACATCCGCAGTGATGAAAATGCTCAACGGAACAATCCTGCAAAGCCCACATCCCCAACCCTCACTCTATCTATTGCACCAAGGGGGGAATCCAGCAATGCAACCAATCATGATCCTGACCTCTATTACAAGTCCAACCCACTCCCTTACTCGCTCTTCAGCTTATCCTGCTTGACCGTGAAGGCCATATCCAGCAGCGCCTTCTCCTCGTTCTTGTGCGATACCTTGAGTCCAGTCGCTACAGATGCGCTAGGGTTACGTCCAGCGTACATGACGTGTCTCCTGTTGTGGTGCTCCGTCTGGTTGAGCAGAGTCTCAATCCTGGGCTGTGTGAAGCTCCAAGCTCCTGCGTTGAGCGGCTCCTCTTGGCACCAGATGATGTTCTGTGCATTGGGGTATGAGTCGAGGTTGTCCTTGAGCTGCTGCCATGGGAATGGGTTGAGCTGCTCGATGCGGGTAATCGCCACATCCTTCTCTCCACGAGCCTCACGCTCCTTGACAAGCGCCGCGTAAACCTGACCGGTGCAGAGAATGACGCGGTTGATGCCCTCGTGTGATTCAATCTCTCCGCTGGCGTGCGCTGGGTCCTCGATGATCCACTGGAAGTGCGAGTCTCCGGTGAACTCATCAATGCTCGAGCGCGCAATTGGGTGACGGAGGAGTGACTTGGAGAAGAAAAGGACGAGCGGCTTGCGGAACTGGCGGTTCATCTGGCGACGGAGAAGATGGAACAAGTTAGATGGCTTTGTGGTGTAAGCAATCTGCATGTTACAGTCCTGGTGCTGGCGATCAAGCTTTTCTGGCGATGGGAAGATGCGCGGGTCCTCATTGCACAGCTGCAGGTAACGCTCGATACGTCCCGAAGAGTGCTCAGGACCTTGACCATCGTAACCGTGTGGCAAGCTCATGACGAGACCGGAACGCTGAAGCCACTTGACTTCACCTGATGCAATGAACTGATCGATGATGACCTGAGCAGTGTTGGCAAAGTCACCGAACTGGGCCTCCCACATGACAAGCGCGTTGGGCGACGACAGTGAGTATCCGTATTCAAAACCGAGCCTGGAATGGGTTAGTCAATGTGATATATCAAAACAGAAATTATCATTACTTACACTCCGTACTCGCTGAGAGACGAGTTGGAAATGGTAAATGTTGCCTGGTCCTGGCTGAGGTTTTGCAGGGGTGTGTATGTCTTCTCCGTCTCCTGGTCGTGGAGTACAGCGTGACGCTGAGAGAAGGTTCCACGCTCCACGTCCTGTCCAGAAACACGGACGTGGTGGCCCTCCATGCACAGACTTCCGAATGCCAACGCTTCAGCAGTAGCCATGTCAATGTTTTGGCCATCCATGACCGTCTTGGTGCGACCAGCCAAAATACGCTTCAAGTTCTTGTGTACGTTAAAGTCCTCTGGCGCCTCTCCGATCACCTTGGCGATGTGCTTCAGCTGCGACTCTTCAATGGCAGTCGGCAGATGAGGCAACACCTCGGTAGCAAGCTCCTTCGGTGTCTTGAAGCCGTTCCATGCAGAGGTGAGCCACTCCCGGGAGTTGGGAACATAGTCCTTGCTGCGGTTAAAGCTCTCGTCTAGCATACCCCAGACCCAAGCCTTGTGCTCATCAATGTCCTCCTTGGTGAAAGTCTTCTCCTCGAGGAGCTTCTTGGTGTAGATGTCCAGCGTTTGGGGCTGTTGTGAGATCTTCTTGTACATGAGGGGCTGAGTGAAGAAAGGCTGATCCGTTTCGTTGTGACCCTGCTTCCTGTAGCAAACCATGTCGATGACGACGTCCTTCTTAAACTCGGCGCGGAAGTCAGCGGCGAGCTGGCAGACAAAGTTGACAGCCTCAACATCATCACCGTTGACGTGGAAGACGGGCGCATCAATGGCCTTGGCGATATCAGAGCAGTAAGGAGTAGAGCGCGAAAACCTAGGATCAGTGGTGAAACCAATCTGGTTGTTTACAACAATGTGAATGGTTCCGCCAGTGTGGTAGCTGGGCAGCTGGTGGAAGCCCATGGTTTCGTAGACGACACCCTGTGCAGCAAAAGCGGCATCACCGTGCAGAAGAACACCCATGGCGCTGACAGCTTCCTTTTCGTCGTTGTTGTAGTGTAAGATGGCGCGGGTCTTTCCAAGCACAACGGGGTCCTCAGCCTCAAGATGGGACGGGTTGGCGACAAGGGACAGTTGCACGCGCTTTCCAGACGGAGTGGGACGCTCAAAGTTCATACCCAAGTGGTACTTGACATCACCAGAGCCCTCTTCGTTGGCCTCGGCAGTACCGGCAAATTCACTGAAAATAGACTCATTGGGTTTCCTGACGACGTTGGAGAGCACGTTGAGACGTCCACGATGAGGCATGCCAATGATGATATCCTTGACGCCATAATCGACGCTTCGGTCGATCAAAGCCTTCATTCCGGGAATCAAACTCTCTCCACCTTCAAGACCGAATCGCTTGTCATTGGGGTATTTGGTAGCAAGGAAAGCCTCGAAGTTTGTGCCCCAGATGAGGCGGTCCAGGATGCGGCGCTTCTCATCGACGGAATACTTGAACGGCGTGGGAACCTCAATGCGCTCACGGAGCCAATCGCACTGCTCCCTGTCCGGGATGTGAATGTATTCTATTCCGTAGGAGCCGCAGTACAGGCGCTCGCAGGCGTCGATGATCTCCTTAAGCTTCATCTTCTTGCGAGACTCTGTCCTGAAGCGGGGAAGGATACCCGGGCCAAGCTCAATCTCCTGCTCCAAATCTTTGTCGGTAAAGTTGTAGTGGGAAAGCTCGAGCTCGCGGGGCTTGTTGTAGCCAAAAGACTCGGCCTCTGAGCGAATGCCAAGCGGGTCAATCTTGGCCTTGTGGTGACCACGAGCCTGGTATGCGCGGACAAGCAATTGGACTTTGAGATGGTTCATAATATCTGTTCCTTCGACATTGGCCATGCCCATGCCCGGTCTGGCCGTAGCGCCTTGGGGCGAGCTCATGATGGTGGGCGGCGGCTGGAAGGCTTGCGACACGGGCATGTCGCCGGACTCCATGTTGTGGAAATAGACCTGCCATGAGTAGTGAACACTCTCGGGGTCGTGTTTCCACTGCATGTACATGGCATCGATGTAGTTTGCCGTGTTGCCCTGGAGGAACGAGTCGTTGGGGTCCTATGCCGTCATCGTTAGCTGGGGTCGAAGAGTTTGTATCTGGGGGGTAGATGGGCACGCACAACGCCCTTGCTGGTCTCCTCAGCCGAAACGGCATAGGGACGGCGCTGGGTAAGCGCAAGAGGACGGCGACATGTCGAAATGGCCGTTCTCGAGGGCTTTGTGAAGGTGGTGAAAGATGCTCTGGCTGGGGCGCTCCCCGGGAGCTTGCGAGAGCACTGGCGCAGGGTGTTGCGCAACATTGTGAATTAGGATGTCAGGGCGGAGGAAGGGATGCGTGTCATCCAAGCAGACAGTGGTGTACAGAAGAGAGCTTCTGCGATGGCAGTGTGCCGTCCAAAAGTGAGCAAGCCTGATCATGGCACATGCGTAGGGCCCCGTGTTCCACACTAGCGCCCTGTGCGATCCAGGACGGTTCGGAACAGGCCTTGCTCGTCAAATGCCTCAAACACGAATCGTCCAGCCAATGTCTGGAGCCTCTTGTCCGCGCCCGACTGCTGCCATGGCTTTGTGGCGTCTATCTTTGCGCTGCCTCTTGCCTGCTGCCAGTTGTGCTGGCCACGGTAGCACAGAGGCATGGAATGCACCTGTGAACCACACCCACAATGCAGCGCCCGCCAATGACGACCGGTGTGTTATTATGTAAGCGGAGAGCGCAGGCGGTGCCGGTGCTGAGGGTGTAACGGATATGTATCCGTTGCGCCACAATGTGCGTCAACGGGCTTGGCTTACACTATGCCGTGTCATGCTCTTCGTAATGCTACTCTAAGTAAAGTATGTATGTACATGCCGGCCGGGACAAGTCAGTGAGTACTTGGGTTGCATATGTTGATAAAGAGAAAAGGCTAAGTGGCTGTGTCTCGTGACCTGGCTCAGTGACTGCTACTATTGTGTACATACTGGACTACACTAGACGAGTACCAGATAGACTACTACAAAACGCGTCCCAAGCGAAGCAAAAGCAATCCACGGCGCAAGGGCGGGTGATGCGTGATCACGTGCACCGCGTCAATCTGGGGAATCCCAAACTAGTCTAGCATTCTTCTACCGCGTCAGACTTACCCACGCCGTGCATCCCCTCCAACCCGCCCATGGCTGACGCTGCCGCACAGTACAAGAAGCAGGACGGAACTGTCTCCGTCTCTGCCGATGGCAAGACGGTGGCTTGGAGGTCGGCCAGTGGCGCGCTTCCTCCCCTCTCAATAGCCATAGCTGACATCGCAAGTATGTCCACCAACGCCCATGCTTCGCCCCAGAAAACATCCAGGCAGCTGACTTGCGCTCAGATCTGCAGCAAACTCCTGCAACCGCCGCAAAGGCCTCCATCAAGATCGTTGTCAAAGAGCCATCGCCCCAAGCCGGTAACCACACCCTTACATTTACCTCCGCCGCCGCTCGCGACGATCAGCAAACCATAACCGGCGTCCTGCGCAAATGGATCGAAAACTCAAAGCAACAGGCTGCGCCTTCACCTGCACCGGTAGCGGCCAAGGCAGGTGAAGGCGATGGCGGCCCATCGGCCGCTATGGCTATGGCCCAGACCGTCGCAGCACCGGCCAAAAGCGACCAAGACACCTACGACGATGCAAAGCTGCTTGCCGACACGGCCCTACAAATGTCGTTGCTCAATTCCAGTCCGGCCCTTCGCCAACGCTTTGATCGGGCCCTTCTCGAGAAGCCCGATTCTGTCTCGGTCTTGCAATTCTCAATGCAGTTCTGGTCAACCCGGGTGCACATGTTGAGATCGCATGCCACAGAGAGATCTCAGGCCACAGGAACCTACAATGTCTTGTCGGTCATAAAGTCAAAATCAGTCAACGGTACTCTGATGCTGAACTTGACCAAAGAGCAAATCGAGCTCCTCTTTAGGCAGCACCCGATAGTCCAAAAAGCATACAATGAAAATGTTCCCCCACTCACAGAGGGCGACTTTTGGGAAAGGTTCTTTCACAGTCGACTGATGAAAAAGCTCAAGGGCGAACGCATCCAAGACAAGGATGTGCTTGATCCAAAGCTGGACAAGTACTTGAGTTACGACGAAACAGCAGATAGCTCTCTGGACCTGCTTGCTGCCTCTATCCCAACTTTTATCAATATTGAGGCCAACGAAAACAATCACAGCCAAAAACAAGGCAACCGACCCGACTTCACCATGAATCCAGCCCATTACGAAAAGGCACCCATTCTTCGCGTCCTGAATCGCATGAGCGAGAAGATGATGAAGGAGGTGCCCCCTTCCGATGCAAATCGGCACGGGCCAGCCGGAGTCGATGAAGAAACATACAAGGAGCTGCAGCTGCGTGATCTCCAGCTTGCAGATGACGACAATCGAGTAGTACTCAAGGTACATGATCAAAGCCGGTTCTTTTCGGCTGGACAAAGTGTACATACCTCGACCAGTGCTGCGACATACACAAAGCGCACTCCCGCACAGGCACTATCCACTCTGCACCAAGATCTCCGCAAGTTTGACGGCAACACTGGCCAGGCTTCTAAAGTTGATTTACATTCCCTCATCGAAATCAATGATGAAAGTAGTAGTGACGAGGAGGAATCTGTCCCCAAGAAGAAGACAAAGGTTGGCAGTAGATCGTCACGAAAAGCAGCCTCTTCACAAATTTTATCGGCTCTCAAGAAGCGACATCTACACAATGATGATTATTCCTCATCCAAGTCTATCCCTACTGCTGAGCGGGCAAAGGAGCTTCATGTCTCTGAAGCTGTCCTTGACAATCTGACCATGACCCATAACACCACTGTCGAATTCCTACATTATTTCTGGGCTGTGTTCTACTCGGGAGACCCCGACCGTGCAAACGAGATTGCAAGGCTCATTGAGACACTTGACAAATCTCTCGATCGTATCAAGGCTGTTGCTGATATGGCAGAAGCAGAGCGCGCGGCTAGGATTGAGCATGCGCGAAAAGAAAACGAGTTCTCCAACCAAAGAGAACGCAAGAAGCGTAAGTTCGATCCTGAGGCTATCAGAGGAGGGGCGAAGGCTGTCAATCAAATCGCAGATCCTCTGCTTCGAGCGATAGATGCTGCGCGTCGTCAATACCAGACGGCACTTCGAGAACAAGTAGCGCGTAGCTCGTCAAACGTTGCCGCTTGAACCAATTTACCGGATGTAGTCGTTTTGTAGATAAAATACCACATATCGTTTTGCATAGCGAATGGCGTTATGGCACAGGGATCTTGGAGTCCAAGTTAGCGGTTCAGCACCTTTTTTTTACAGAGTAGGAAAAACATTCTGTCTGCGTGTTTGATCAACTTCATTCAATAACTGGTGAATAATCATCTTCATCTATCACATAAAGTAGCTGTTCTATGCATACCACGGTTCACAAATGAGAAATTCCTTGAGTGACCTCACGCTGTATGTTAGAAATATCTTGGGTAAGACATGCGCAGTTCTGAAACAGGAGCTTCTAAGCTATTCAGCTGGCTCAAGTACCGCATATTACATATTGAGGGTGATGGAGTAACTGTTCATCGTGCCTTCCTAAGCAGATTATCATGCCATGTCTAGTTGGGACAACTTCGGCACTAAGCAACCTAGCCCGTGTTTTCGCCCCACTTAACCCGCAGCTCGTCCATCTTCTCGAGAACTTTATCTCCACCACCTATCTCGTTATCGCTATAACAGCAATCAGAAGAGCCAGAGACACGCGCAGAAGCACAGAAATCACCGTTTGAAATAGAACTTCTGATTCGGAGTTGCGTAGAAAGCATTAAGTGATATTGTCCCCTCAAGACACAATCGAAAACTACAGAGAAACGTACAGCATGAGGCCTGGTCGACTTGAATCCAGTACCTAAACAGAGGAAAACGCGCTAGAAATTAATAGGAAAGCTAGGGAATAACAACCAAAGACCGTCGCTAATGCAAATAAAGCGAATATACGGAAGGACCTTGAATGACAATGCTGGCATCTTCTGGCACTGGGAGCGATAGCGAGGCATCTTCGATATCTACAGAGAAAACTGCGGTGCCGCAGACCTTTCTGATTAGGCCAAGAAAGAATGATGTTGGCTTTCTTCGAAGTCGGGGTCAGTAATCGGTTTCATCGCCGGAAGTGATCGCGCGCTGGGTCATAGTACAAGTGTGTTCCTGCTTTCTGTCAGTAAGGACAGACGAGCGGCGGGGCGTTTGAGGCCTCGTTGTTGTGCTATAGTACTCACCTCCTCGGCTTGAAGAAGAGTTGTTGTTCGCATTTCTGTCTCTTGGTCTGTTGTCCCTACAAAGACAGTGAGCACTGCTACGGTTCTATATCATGGCCATAATTGACCCACCTGTAGCGGAAGCTGTGCCAAAGGTACCATCTAGCGACCCAGTTCTCTTCGTTGACTGCGGTTCTGTAACAGCCCATGTAATAATATGGACGAGTCTCAGGGCAGGCATCGCGAACCACCATCAACACACACGAATGCTTTGCGGTCTCGGATATTTCGTCCCACCTGTAGGGCTCGCATACGGACGGGTCTGTCTTGGACTGGTCTGTCAAATTGTACGGGTTACTGCTTAGTGCGTCTCGAGCGATTTCGGCTTCTTTCTGCGCGGACAGATGTATCAGCAGTTTTCTTTCGGGCCTGATCTGTATTCGTACCAAGAGCAGTTTGTGAATACGATCACTAAGGCCTAATCGAGCGCAGATTGCACTTTTGTCGGCGCTCTGAGGAAGAGGGGGCATTGACATCTTTGGCAACTCTGTTTCGAAACTCGGTGTATTGCGACAGCCAGCGGTACGCAGACTAGGATGTGAAAATGTATGACCGAAGTAGGGGACCCGAAGGTGTATTTTCGTCTTTATATTTCGAGCCAGGATCCTTAGACACCGGTCGATCCCACGGAGGCTTTGTCACGTGACAACGGGGCACCAGTATCCCACTTCTTGTCGTAACATGGTGCATAAGCCACAGCGACAGGGACGCGGGATGTGCTGCGCTTCATCCCTTGACGGGTAGCGACTCATACCTACCACTACTCGTTCGGGCCGGAGCGCCATTTCGTTAACGCAACCTTGCTCGCAACCAGCAAATCTTCGGCCTTTTGCCTGGTTCCCGCCGATCCCACTGACAAGGTGGGTCACCTGGCTCTCGCGTATCCTCCCGTACATACGGTAACGGTAGTTAGCTGCATATTGAAGCCAACACGGTGATTTGTTCCAAGGGCGTCCGCTTCACATACGCTGCTTGCATGGTGCTGTCGCGATAACCCGTAGATCTTTCGGTATCGTACACCCTCTCTCGTTGACGCCAGCTGTGACAGCACGTGCTAGGTTTGTTTCTCACGACAATGTCCACACTGCATGTTTCGGGCCGCCAGGTCACCATCATGCTCTGAGACCAAAAGCCCTGCTGACGGGCATGAGCGATAGACAAGGGTGGAGAGAAAAAAGAAGCAAAGTCTGCGAGTTTAGGTACGGCTGTATGTATCTCAAGCCCTATCAAGATCAACCGCCAATAAAGTGTGGGATCTGAGGATTCATGACACCAGCTAGACACATGCAGGCCTCCTAAACGTTTAGTTTTGAAGGCTACCGATGCGAATGCAGGCGCCCAGAAACAATAGGGCCGAGCGAATCATGTACTTGTGGAAAGGATGCAAAGTCAGTCCACACGTACAGTGTGGTGGATCGTGCCCCGCAAGATAGAGTATACTAGCTTTGCACTTGCATAATGGTGGGCATGGTGCCGGCAACAATTCCACGAGTCACATATCGTCATTTAATACAAGACCAATGGGTAGACCCAGAAGCGTGTAGGGAGTTCAGGTCGGACGATAGTGTATCCCGTAGAAGGCGCAAGCGAACGCACCGAGCAACAGTGACCAGAGCGATCCGACAACCTGAAACGAGGGAACCTGTGTGTTTCGAGACGGAAACGCATGTCATCTGAAGACGACCATGTGTACCGCGTGCACCATCAACACGGGAGCTTCTGGAAGCCTGGGGCTCCGAAAACCTCCCCACAATCCGAGAACAGATTGAAGCCGCCGAAGAAGAGCCAAAGACAAAGTAATGGTATAGGTGGTCGGATCAGCTAGTCTATGACTACGACCTCCTACGTACCGAACTTGCTTGGAAATTTGTGTGTGTGTGTGAGAGAGAGATAGGGAGATTCACCACTCGCGTCTCCACACGACATAGTTTTGAAGCCTTCGTCATTCTACTACCAGGAGGCGTTTCGTGGCTACTCGCAGTGTGTACGGATGCAGGCGCAACGTTTTAGTGGACGAGGATTGAGGTGCAAATCAGCGACAAGCCACAAGCGTTATGCATTCGGCGTGGCCATGGAGCTTTGATACAAACCCTGAGGGCTCAAGCAGCTGGACTTGTCTGACCGTTTAGACATGCTATATTGGCTCCGCCACAAACCGCTCGCGTGCTGTATTGGAAGTTTGTGGAGCGAACATGACAAGGAACAAGCTATCAGCTGGTGGCAGCCAGAGTCAAGCTCAGGATGCGCTCGGGTCGCTGATACGCCCTATTGCGGAAGCCAAAGTGGGTTAACCGCAGGTGCCGCACGTTCAGTGAAGCTGACGTGTGGTTTGACGCCACAAGCGGATTTCCAGGGAACGCCATGACGCCTTCCGTCTTGGGGACATAGGGTACACGGGCACAGCAAGAGAAAGCGTCAGCCCACCTTGTTCGTGTAAGTGGCGTCGTAGAGGGTCGCGGATGTTCTGGCGGATCAAGACTAGGTTCGTAGGCATATTCCTTTGCAGGGGTGGGCAGGCAATACACGCTATGCAAGGGTCCGTCCTAGTCCCACCTGGCCGCGCCACCGTGTTGATAATCCTCAAGGGCCGTTGTCCATCTTTTCTCTTCACACTGGCAGGCTACAATGAGTCGTCGACTAGCCGATCAGCATCGTGTCCTGTTGCCCAGTGGCTCGTACTCTGAGCCGGCCGGCGAGGCGCCACTCAATATGCTCTGCCCAGTTTGCACACGGCCACTGTTAGTACCCAACCGAGACGCGAAAAATAAAGGCCGCCCGCTGAACAAAGGAGCACACACCGAGACAAGCACAGCTGGTATTGCTTTTCCCTGTCGTTTGCGACAAAGCGGAAACGTCTGGAGTCTTAGGGGGGCCCCATGGGCGGAGCATTTTGATTGGCCTGTGCTGCCCATGTACTGCCGAGTCAGATACAGTAGTATCTTTCTCTCGCTTGCCCGTAGCAGAAACCGAGACTGCGCCTACCATGGTCACACATGCATACGAGTTTGCCGGGCGAGCCTCAGGTGCGAATCTACTCTATTTGTCTAGGCAGCCATGGGCCGAGCAACTGCAACCACAGCTGCCGACTTGCATCATCGGGAAGGACGTTGGTAAAGAAGCGTGCAGGATCGCTGCAGTGCCCACAGCATGACGATATTGGGGTTGCATCCACCAGGTCCTGCCTTCATGCACACTACGATCCAAGTATCCATCGCATCTCATCTTGGGCATAAGTACATTGACGACATGGCACGAGCATGACACCCATCCACCGGCTCAACAACCCCGGTCCACTGCATCGCAGTAATCACCGGCAGCCCGCATGTGGAGCTAAAACTGCACGATACGATTCCCACGCTGCTGCCATGGATACGTTGCATGGAAGGAATGCGAATCCGCACGCTTTTTCGCAACATGCACTACGTCAAGAGTCCCTCACCCATCAAAAAGCCTTGGTCGACAGAGGCTCATCACGTTTGCAAGCGAGTAGTCAGCCTGGCTTCGCGCCAGATCGTAATGGTTGCATCCGCCATTACACCTCCGGAGTAGACGACGTTCAGGACTGCCCAAGGCAACAACAGTACGCAAGAGGTAGAGCTGTGCCTATCAATCTTGCATTTCGGCTCGCAAATCGATCCAATGGCGTTCCTCTTGCCACTATTGTTGAGCAAGGTTCCTGCTCCACGCTAAACTCCCACGGCTCCCTCCTCAGTGTCTGTCCGTATGCCTCGTTGCGGGTGGTGGAAAATACGTCACCTAACTACTATGTTTTACCCAGGGCCTCGTCGCGTCTCGATGGGCGTACCCTCCAGCTCAATATAGAAAATGGGCAGCTAGAGTCAGTTCTAGATCCAACCACTCGAGAGTTTTCCACGCCATCATACAAGGATATCGGCAGCTTGTCTCCGCAGGATAAAACCACCACTCCATCTTTACACACCATTTTGGATCGCCCACAAGCTTTACAACATCAAACAGGGGAGACAGACTGTGACAGAAATAGCAAAAATGTCAAGGATCTTGTCCGTGGTGTAATTCACAACGTCCGAGCTGTCTCACGAACCCGGTCCAGGTCGTCCTCAACGCATACACCTATCGCTGAGCATCATCATAACCGGCAAAAGACCAGCGATGATACCCCAAATAGTGAGTTATGTGGCCCTGATAGGTTCGAGTCGGAAAATACGGTGTTAGCTGCACCAGCTGGTGTACCCTCTGCGCCCCTGGACGTGACTCAATTGCCAGCTCATCAACATCAAAACAGGGATGGGCGGACTCTGAACACAGCCTTTAAACCTTCGGCTCGTCTAGACTTGCTCTTGCACAAGGATGTGCTCTCGTCGCACACCCAAATCGGAGCTACACATCCGTTGTCAAAACCTTCGACTGGAAAAGAGGGCTGTCACGACAATGTCTCGAAAATCTCAACCCAAAGAGGAAATTCCAATCTAGAAGGGAATGCCTTTTATGGAGTCTCTGTGTCGAGTGATGCTACTAATTCCTGGATAGAGGTTGATCGCGCAGGAGACGCTAGTCAAAATGCCAGCTTTTGTAGCACTGCATCCACTTCGTATTCCGGTAGTGTGGTTGGTGTAGATGTCGATCTTCAACACGAATTTCCTCAGAAGACGTACCACTCACCTTCATATACACCTGTAGCACCGGTATGGTTCACCCCTCAAGTGACAGAGCCGGAGCGACATGCTTCACTTTCTGGATCTCCTGAAGCCAAACAGTCGCCAGAAACGGAACGACCACGTCGGTCCATTACCTCATCTGCTCTGGCGACTCTGCTTCCAATAGCAGCAGCCTCGGGAATAATTCACCGAAACTATGAGACGCCGAAAATATCATTCTTTTCACCATCCGGTCGCCTGATCCAGCCAGAGGGTAGTTCCTCGCCCGGTACAACAAGCGCTTCCGACTTCAGCAGCTCGCCCGTGGCCAATGCATCTGCAAGCATAAATCCTACCCCTGTCTCCTATAGTATATTTCCAGCAACATGTCTACCTCCTCCACGACCTTCCCTGAGACCAATGACGACTCCACCCACATCTTCGGTACCAGTCCCTGCCAACTTGCGACACCACCACAACTACAGACGTCCTGAAAAGTCGCAGATCAATCCTGAAATAGAATATACGCATTCATTCAACGATACTGGTCTGGCGGTCAAAAGATGCGACGGCATTGTACGGACCGGGACGCTCCCTATCAACACTCAGACGCGCCAACCGTACGGAAATACAAAAGCACAACATCAGTACAGAAGAGACAGGTCGGTAAGGCTGTTCAAAGACAACTTCAGATTGAAAGCGAGGTCTCGTAGAGCCCGGTTGATGACAGTCATGAGCACAACAACAGCGAAAGGAAGAAATCTCGGTAAGCAAGACGAAGCAATCATACACACTAGCATGCCTCACAAACGGAAACGTGTGTCCGTCGCTACTCCTGACAGAAAGCGCCTACCCAGCCGGCACGTAAGACGAGAAGGCAAGACAGGACTCCTCGGACCGGTAGCCGGACATGTGTTGCGCATCTGCTTCTGTCAGCCATACGACGGCGCAGGCAAGCCGACGCATGATGTCGCTGCGAAAACCTTTTGCATAAAAAGCCACGCTAGCGAGACGCAGAGAAAGTCAAAGAAGGAAACACACCCTATAACCGCAACGGAAACGCACGTCGTAGACGCCGTTCTACCCAACGCTCGGGTCGTCACGGGCGTCAACCGGAAGATCAACACCGACAACCGTATTCGCATGCGGACGAGCGGTCGCAGGAAATACAGCAATCTGACCACGAAATCCCATCTTCCGTGTCAGACTGCACTGTGATAGCGCTACGAAAGCCGTATGCAAATGTGTGTATACGGATGGGTGTGCGCGCGTGAATGGTGAGTGGAGGGTTTAATTATGCGTCTCGGACACGAACGCCGCTGTCCATCCAACAATCATGGAATTTTCTCTTGTCAACGTAACGCTTCTACACCCCCCCCCCCCCCCCCCCCCCCCCCCTCACACATCCCTCGCGCCTCAATTCCAAGAGAACTAGGATCAGCACGTTTCTCTAACCCACCTCTAGTCTCTTCTTCTTGTTTTTTTTTCTGTTAAAATTACAGCGGCTGTTTGTACTGAAACATCCACATACAATACATACATATTAGCAAAGCAAAGCAAATGAAAAAAAAATGGAACCAATCCTAGTCCCTCATTCTATCTCTCTTTTTTGCTTGGCTGGCTGGACTGGCTGGAATGGATGGCTTACGACATCCACACCCACACCCACACACGCGCCCACCCCCGTGCATAAAAGGGACGTTTTCTGACATTTCCGCGAACGGGCTGTCCGTGAGGGCTTTTCTTACCCTTCTTTTGCTTTTTTTACTTTTTGCGCTGCTCAAATAGGTAGACTTGGCGCCAGGATCGCCCCTCCATTTTTTTGGCCTGCGCGGCTGTCATTGTCGTCGGTGATGGGAGGGAAAAAGCAAAGGAGTGATTATATACGTTGTTTGTGGAGGGGTGTGGGTAGGTGTGTGTGTGTGTGTGTGGCTGGATGCGTTGTTGCACATTTCACGCATGCATATACATGTGTAGTGCAAAGAAGAAAAAACCTGTATTCAGGGCTCTCTAGGATGGGATATGCGAGGGTGTGGTTTGTTTGTTGCCTGTACGTGTGCTGGACTGGACTGCGCAAGGCACACACTAAAAAAACACCCAGAGCGATGTTCACCAAGGATTGGAATAGTGGTGTCTAGGAAGATCATTGCATAGACTTACACTCTTTTTTCTTTCGTTTTTTCTTTTCTTCCTTTGTGCATTACTTGTTCACCCTTTTTCTCAATACGGGAATTAACATGCTTGCAGCAATCATGCCTCGGCTTGTGCGACGTGTGACTGTTTGGGAATGAATATATGGGAGGGGGAAAATGGGGGTCTCGGGTTTTGCTTTTCAGGCCCTTTTGGCGTGATGTGCATCATGGTTTGTGAGGGTGTGGGTGTCGCATTTGGTTGTGGCACCTTTGTGAAGGATATGATGCTTGTTTGGTATGATCCATGTATCGCCGACGTGGGGAGATGATGATAGGTATGGTGAGCGGCTGGGGTGTGCGTGGAAAGTCGGCAGAAGAAAAGGTGGCTGCCGGATTGGTAGTGCAGGGCGTTTGGTTTTTCTCTTTGCTTTACTTTGCCCTTATCAGATTGACGCGGGTGATCTTCTCCCAGGATACGTATAGGTTGCTTTCATATGGGGAAAAGAGACTTGGATGCATCATCGAGGACACTATTTAGGCAACAGCAAAAAATATAGCCTGCATGTCTGAATGTAGAACAGTGATTCTGGAAACCCTTGCGAAATGTCTAGATTCGGTTCCGAAACATGTCGGCATTTGGAAGTGATTCGGGCGGTATTCTCAATGCGTGTGCATACGCATGCTAGTTCAATATACTTTGACGAATCGCCACAACATATCCTTTAGCATACCGTCCAAAGAACACACTGAAACCACCAAAAATACATAATACACCCCAAAGCAACAAGACATATCTAAAAGAAAAAGAAAAGCGACGGCCCGGTTCAGTCACACAGCAGGCATAACCACCCCAACGGTTTGCCGCATCGGCGATTGCAACTTTTGTTTTGAACCCGAGCAAGACGCGCATAACAGCGGCGAGCCGACCAGCCGGCCGTATAATTCCGAAACGGCAAGAAAAACGAAGACCAAACTTGTAAAACCAGTTGTTACAAAACAACAAATAAAGGCGTTCCGTTCATACGGTAGGCGGGCTAACCCCGGCAGTCTGTGCATGGGATGGTATGCACATCATAGAATCGGGGTGCCGAGTGTGACGGGTTGGAAACTTGCTTCTTGTTTTCCTTGAAAGAGAGTTGAGGGCGAAGGGGGGAAACATTACGCGCGTTACAGGGCGTATCTTTTTCTTTTTATGCTCCCCCACAGTTTGCGGGCAAAGCAATGGATTGCCAGTAAGCGTATGGCGGCGCACATACCATCATACAGTCTATGCAGAGGGGATGATGAGGTCGGGTAAAGAGAGACTGCGGCTGGAATGAGGAAAAGTGTTGCCATAAAGTGGTGCGATGAAGTGGTGCGATGAGGTGGTCTCATTCTCGACAACGTATCCAATCACTCGTCTGGAAGATTAATGGCCAGCTGAAATGTGTATCTCACTGCACAGTGGCAAACCAAAGGAGGGTGTACCAGACCTGGAGACTAATCACGAAACGATTCTAGCGTAAGGATGTGTGTGTGTGAGGTGGTGGGTGGGAAAAGGGTTCTTCATTGTATACAATTGTTTTTTGCCGACCCGAGTCCTGCACATCCGCCAGTAGCGGGATCACCGAGCAGGAGATGCTAAAATATGCAGCTCTGTGCACTTGCACGGTTACACTTGCCGGAATTTGTACACCTAGTGCAAAAGACTCGCAAAAGTCGCCTCCGGGTGTTGTGCTGACCCCTGCCTGCTCGTCATGTCCAATGGCCGTGGTCTCTTGTCGATCAATCCCCACCGCCTCACTCGCGCATTATCGACCCGAGGGCCTGGTAACGCACCTGCAGGACAGAATCCTATTCCGGATAAAATGGTATGGGAATCCTTTATAAGGTTGTCAATTTCCTATTTCGAACGTATGCGCATGTTGTGATGGCCGCATGGAGAAGAAAAAGCAAATACCGTATATGATGCTGACTTGTGGGCTTTGCTGCGCCCTGCATGCCAGGGTAGGCGAAGAGGTTGTCGATCAGTCTTCTCGGTACCGCGAAGGGAAGTGATATTTGAAATATGGGCGAATCAATGGAGCATGCTGTGGAAGGGCGATCAGCTCAAGTGTCATGTGTGGCTTAGTACGGATTGCTTGACTTGTCGGCCCAGAGGTCTTTCCAAAACTGCTTGAAGCCATACTGCTTCTCTCGACGCTCATCTCGCACGCGAACGGGGCCGCCAATGATGTTGTCGAGAACACTCCTCTGACCAGAAGTGTACCCAGTGTCTGTCTTCTTCGGCGGTCTCCGCGTCCGTTCAATGATGGCTGCAGGAAGCTGGGGCGCAACGTCGGCGAAGCACGAGTTCAGCTCGCGTTGGAGGTTGAAGTAGGGTCTTTTGGCTAGCTCCGGTGCCTGCAGGTTGTAACTGCGCGCTTTGTCGTTGAGGTCCTTGATTGCTACAGCTAGGTAGCTACCTTCAATACGCTCCCAGTCTAGATCCCGGAAAGGATGTGACGCTGGAGGCACTGTTGCTTCCGGAGTTTTAAGTGGCACTTCCATGGTTTCCTTTGAAACACTTTCCGCAGAAACCCTAGAAGGATCTTGGGCTACGGCTTCCGGAGAAGCGTCAAGGGTGACCTTCTCAGCTACTACCCGTTCCACAATAACTGGCTCAGATTTGGGATCTTCAGCTGGTGGAGATACTTTAAGTTCTCCTGATAACGAAATTTGAGACATGTGACCATCGTCATTTGTGGTCGTAAAGGTTTCTTGCTTCCTCTTCAATGGATTCGAAATGAGCTCAGCTTTGGCATATGCCTCAGCTCTCCTCACCTGCTCCACCAGCGTGCCACCTTTACTGGCTATCATACGCGCCGCATGTCGCTTCCAGTCTGCGCGTAAACGAGTTCTAAATTTCCTCGTCGCTGACGTAAGTTCCTGTTGTTTCTCAATCCATGGCGGCACTATTTCCTGTCTTTGGATAATCTTATTCATGAAGTACTCGGTCGTATCGATGAAGGGGCTGGATGCATTGTAGTCCCGTTCGACATTAGCATTTTTGCCTCGAGGGATGTTCTTGAACTGTCCACGGGCGATTGCGTCCTCGATTCTCTTATTTGCAAGCGAAGCAAGGCCTTGTATTGTTCCAGGGACAATGGCGCGTGCACCAGGTTCGAATCGATCCTTAAGTTCTTGGAGCCGCTTCTCACGATCTGCAGCGTCGATGTCTCCGTTTTCCACCAATGTCGTATACACCAAGCTCCTGTCGCGAGCATTCGCCAGCCGCAACCCACTGCCTCCCTTGCCGCGCTTGTGACCGGTATCGATCGACTGTGGTGGTTGTACACCAGGTATCTTTGGTGGGCGGCCCAGTCGCATGGGCTTGTGGGCATCGTTCAGCATGCGCAAACTGGCATCGTGGATAGATTCAGTGCCACTCCATGCGTTGGCAGTAGCAAGGTCGCGCGTGTGGCGAGATGCAGAGGCGGGAAGCTCTGCCTCAGACGATCTGAGGTTGGCGGCGGCAATGCGTTGCTCCAACTGTGCCTTGAGATCCGGACTGAATCCAGCTTCTTCAACAGCTTTGATTGCGCCATGTCCACCAGACACCAAGGCTTCTTCGCTCATGTCTCGCAGTCGCCGGGTCAGAGCTCCCTCTTCCTTCTCTTCTCCAGTCTTCCCAATTGAACCCTTCTCTTCTAGATCCCCAATGCGATTGCCACCATCGTTGGGCCCCTTGTCCTGGGTCGCCGCTTGTCCATGCCACCTTACATTGCCGCCCGCGACGGCTCGAACTGGGGCGAAGACATGTGGTCTTCGTTTTGTGCGCAGGGAGCCTGCACAAATATATCTTCTGGGCAGCTTGGATACGGGCATACAGGGAACTTCAGCAATGGGCCGTATCGTGGCGAAGGAATGGATCGGAATGCAAAGTAACTCTAAACATTGCATCTCTCACGTCATGAAGATAAGTTCAAAGGTTAGCGCGTCGTCGTTATCGATAGTGGATTTCTGCCGAGGCTCTCCCGCGGGCGATTGAGCCTCCCACTTATTTACATCTAATACACTAGTTTACATTTAAGCTATCTGTCATCCGCTCATTACTTGCTGCTAACGTGAACCTGTTAGTTCCGTCGAAAAATGACGTGGGTCCACGTTACGCCAAACCATGAACAGGAGTACAGGACCTCACTGCTACCAACCCTCAACTTCTAGCTATGCAACTTTTCATGGCAATCATGACGGTCAAGAGAGACTTACAGATACACTAGGCTTTGCGGTAGGAGAATAGTTTGTTGATTGGATCTTGGTGAAACCAAGTCTCAGATTCGGGTAGTAAGACCAGGGATGGCTTTGGGTTTTTCGAAGTCTGCCTTGCGAACTACTCGAAAAGGGCTCTCTATTTCCTTTCCATATGTCCACATGATACCGCCTCCAATAGATTTATCACGTTGCACCTGGGCCCTTTGAGCAGTTGTTGTGTTGATTGGACGACCAGTATGAATGTCCCGATACGAGCAATGCGAGCAGCTCAGCCTCCACAACAAAGCTTGGCGCAATTAACCATGAGGTATACAAGCAACACGAATATCAAAGTCTTTAAGCGGTTTCCCGTTCATTTAAAACTGTCACATAACACTGAGTAATGAGATATCCGCTGCTTCGGCAGAAATTACAAACAAACATGGAAAAGCAGAAGCATACCACTGTGATTTCTGAGCGCGAGAAGGAAGATCCAAAGGTAGATAAACATCAGTAAATCTGTTTCTATTATGTGAGTTTCTAACATATCATAGATCCCTATGACGGATGTCACGCCCGTATCCCCACTTGATGAGATTGAAGTAAATCGCGTTCGTCCAGAGACGACTGTGCAGTCTGAGAATGCCACCAACCCACGATCAACTTTTCATGTATACTCCGAGAAGGAATGTCACAAGTGTATTTCGCCAGTGATGGACCCGGGAAAAGAGAGATGGTGTGGCCCAAATCAAAAAGAACAAAAAGCGAAGCGTTTGCAGAAACAGGAGCGCAAAAAATCCGGATTGCCCCCCGTTGAGCCGGATGAAAATGCTTTCTTTATGCAGCAACCATACCTATCGTTCCATGTACCGCCTCGAGTTCTGTACACGGGCAGTAGTAAGTACACAGCGAAGCCCGCTGTCCTTATACACGACGGTTGTTTCTGGAGAGACTACAATTTACAATTAGGACCGTCAATCAGCCAACCAGGTGTGATTGACCCGCGCGGCGTAGTCTCATGGCGCCATAATGGAGGCGACAAGAAGGCACTTAAAGCCGATGAACACAAGCTCAAGGGCTACAAAGTCAGAGGATGGAGGCTTTGGGGAGAAACAGGAAAAGAATATGTACACACTGTCAGAGCGAACCGAGAGGCAGGTAAAGGTCCGGATCCCGATGTGTTGGAAGTCAAGGGCCTCGAACGTGAGAAACCCGCGGTAGCCGAAGAGGTCGTTCACTTGCGATGGATAAGTCCATTGTCTCGCCATACTCGATGCTATCACTTCCATTACATGGGCATTGATTTTTACTGGAAAGGGACAGCTTCGGTCAAGGAATCGCGAGCTTGTGGCCTGTTCTTGCGCTTCAATCACTTGAAGCTCGTTGCCAGACTCCCAACCGTTGACGGCAAGAAACACCAACAGAATGAGCTGTGTTTGGGGAAATATACCTGCTCCATCGCAGCCAAGAAGAATGGCACTCTAGAGTTTTTTGATGACACAATCTTGCGTTTAGTCGATGCATACGCCCCCTCAATGCTCGACTTAAGTTCTGACGAGGGGCAATTGGAGGAGAATATGAGGAATGAGAGAGTACTGAGACTGAGAAAAAGTACGCTGTACCAAGTGTTTATGGCTACAGCGACGTGCATGATGCGGAGTGAAAAGGAGAAGAGGCACACACTATTAGAACTGTTGACGGTTGCAGCAGAAGGTGGAGGCTAGGAGGGATGATGGGGTAATATAAATTGCATGGCCATGCCACTATGTGAACAATGATTCTCTCGGTACGATAATACCAGTATCTTCCATGAGGACATAGTTGATCTCGTGAGGAATTGCTTCGGCGCGATGACGTTGTTCCCGCCGCATGCTAATTGTCTGTGCTTCCCCAAGCATGTGTAGTAGCAACCATCCACCACTGTCAAAACCGCATCACCATGTCACAGCTTGCCATTTCACGCGTAGCCCTACGGTACAGCTTACATGGCACCTCTCGCACATCACTGAGGCTCATTGAGGCGCCAGGCCGCATTCTGTAAGCTCCAATGTTGCTTGGCGCAAACATGAAAGTTCCGCCCTGCTCACACCACCTAGGCCTGCTCTCCGCTTCACAACACCACAATGCTCTTCGCACACCGCCCGCGGGTTCTCCTCAAACCCGCAGCTGCAGAAAAAGGCGGGTAAAGCGAATAGATCACACGCCCGAACCGACTCGAACCCACCAGTGAACAAAGGTGTTGCACCAACCCCCACCGATGAAGCCTACGACGTCTCTGGGCTGGAGTTGCAGATACTCAAAGCAATTGAGAAGCTCACGCATGAGCTGAGTCAGCTACGCAGCGGAGGGAAGCTCAACCCGGATATCGTAGAGAGCTTGAAGGTGCAATTGGGCACGGCTGGACATGGCAAAGAGACTGTAAGGTTGGGAGATATTGCCCAAGTTGTTCCAAGAGGAAGAGTACTGAATGTCATCTTCGGAGAGGAAGGGGTATGTTCCGACAGCATCCGTGGTATGCGACTATATCATGTTCAGGCTAACATTCACCAGCACATCAAGCCTATAACAACCGCCATTGCCGCTTCACCACACTCTCTCACACCTCTCGCCCCCGAACCCTCCAATCCTCTAACCATCCAGGTCCCTCTGCCGCCCCCGACTGGAGAATCACGTCGTGCAGCGGTCGAGTCGGCTGTCAAGGCTGCCGAGCGTGCTGACAAGCTCATACAACAGGCCCGGCAGGAACACAACAAGAAGCTCCGAAAGTACGACATCAACCGCGAAGTGCTCCCGGATGATATCCAAAAGGCCAAGAAGTTAATGGAAGACGTGGTTAAGAAGGGCCATGTTGAAGTTAAGCGCATCAGTGACGGTGCCAAGAGGGTCCTTGAAAGCCAATAGCGGCACACAGGCTGTACATACTGTATACGCATCCGATGCTCCGAATTCTGACATGATGTATTGAAATGCCTAGGGGTTGCCCTTTCCGTTACCCGGTTCAATCTTTGGCCAAACGGCTTGAATGTTTATCACGCGCCATGGCTTACCTCATAGCCGGACACGGCATGGGGCCTTCACCTCGTTTACCTATATTGTTGCGTCAAGAATACGCTTACACCGATGACGTTTCGCCTAAGATAGTGACTGCCCACGAAGTGTTTTTGTAAAATCAACTGGCCGTGGAGGGCAGGTTAGCAAGTGAGGCTTGAAAGAAAATTCGCCAACATACATATTAATGAGTCAAAAGAGGGCTTTCGGCTGTCGTGTCAAACTATTTCCGGCCGTCTCTACGTACCACGCCTCAGCCACGACTGACATCACACCCGATCGACAACGCATCGCATACGCCGCACCTCATTTGCTGGCATGCGCATGCGGCGGGTAAGCTGGACGGAAACGGCGTTTCCGCAATAATTTGGTCAGATCTTACAAGATGGCTTGCCCATTGCAATGGCAGAAGTATCGCATGCGTCCACTCAGATGCACGCTGCAGTCAGCACTTTCGACAGCCTCGCTCTGTCCGTTGCCAGACCGCTCTTCGACCGCCACACTACAGCCTGGCCTATTGTTGAGTGTGGCATTTACTCCAGGATGTCCCCACATTGCAGCACATTCACCGTATGCAAAGAAAATTGATCCCCGGGTTACTTTACCCGTCAGCTGTTAATTCACTCTTTTGTGCGCTCCTCACCCGAGAACGTCGGCACTGCGACACTGGAAAGAGATCGCGTAGCACCCGCACCACCGTACATGGCTCTAGTGCTGGACACAGCTCATATTAATATTTAACGGTGACTTCAATCATGGCACCGGTCAGCAACATCAATGGCGAATTTCTGGCTATGAGCAAGCGGTGGCCCGAGCCAGCTACAACCCGCACTTCACCACCCACGCGAGCCAGCATGACTCTTGAAGGAGGATTCCTAGAAGCATGGGCACAGGGATATAACGTGGGCAGCTTCATAGTTCTCATATTAATTGTCCTCTGCAACTACCGATCGGGAATCTTGCTCCATAAACTCATACTACTCGAGGTGAGACCAAACCCTGTCTTTAGTCTGAAGCACGTTCTGATATCCAAAGCTTCTCCTCGCAATCTGGCACGGAACCTTTATCTTCTTCGAGGACCCGCACTATGGATGGTACTTGTCATCCACCGCCACGCTCCTCTTCATCTCCTACTTCCTGCACAATGTCGTCGCCTGGCTCAAAATCCGGCCATTCCTCCCACTCTGGGGCTCTCGATTCTTCATCATCTCTCTCCTCTGCGTGCAACCCTTCTGGATCGTCGAAGCTTGGTCCAACTTTGCCTACTTTAACCAACTCTCAACAGGATCCAGAGTCAACCTCCGTACGCGGCCTTGGGAAGCCCTAGTCCGTGACCCGTGGTGGATCTTTACAACCTGGAAACTCATCAACGCCATTAAAAAGACATATACATTTAGCTTGTGGACATTGATCAAAATTAACCGCCGCTTCAGCGTAATGCTAGCCTGCATGATCCTCTCCATCATCTTCGTCCTCACCGACGCTGCCATCAGCGCAGCAAAAATATCAGCCAGCAGCGGCATAAATCCCTACTGGCGTTTCGCCCTCGTTTTCAAATGCGCATCGGACACCATCTTCCTGGATGACTTCAAATCCATGCTCGACGACATCATCGCACAAAAATTTACTTCTGCAGCAGATACCACTGCGCCGCGCCGCTCCATGTCCCGTACTGGCCGTGCCGCAAACAAGCGCTCGCGATCCATGTCGCGAGAAGAGGCTATGGAATCGAATATGCTGGAAAGATTGCGTACGCCGTCGGTTAGTACTACGCAGAATAGCCAGTCGAGATCTTCGAGGCCGAGATTCGGATCGTTCTTTTCGTCAAAGTCGAACCGAATGGAGAGAGAGATGTCGTCGAACCAGAGGGCGAGAGAGACGCCGTCGATTCATTTGTATCCGCCGGAAGCGAGCGAGGCTTCGTATTCCAGACATCCCAGCTATGATAGCCAGGGTAATGTGGAATTGACTAGACCGGTGCACGCGTTGTATCGGAATCATGAGCTCAGGGCTACGGAGAGTGATGGGAGCTTGCTTATTGGGAGATTGGTTTGAAGGTGGGAAGAGTACGAACGAAGTGGTGGGAGGGAGGGGGGGAATTGTACAAGATGTGTCTGCTGGCAGGCTATTGTAATGAACTTTTGGGACACGGGAGTTTGGAAAGGTGAATTATAGGGTTGTATATGTGTATAATCGGGAAGAGGGATTGGGACAAAGGGGATTGTACGGCTGGCGCTATGCATTATACCCCACGGCGTTTGTTGGATTCGTTGTACGGACAAAGGGACTGGACACGGAATATTTCGTACGCTTCTTTATTCTCTAGTCACTCATATTTAGTTTATTGAATGTTTTTTTTACGCAGGCTTCTTGCTTGACCAGTGGTCTTGAGCTTAACTGCACATGTGCAGAAGAATATCCATGTGAGAAAGTGGTTCGAAATTGGAAGAGACTATGTACAAAAAGGTATATGGTTTACACTCCTGAAGAGAAAACTAGGATTCGCCAGGTCACTTCGTATCATACCCACCAATGAGGCACACCCACCGCAGGCTTCGGAACCTGCACCGGCGCACTACCATAACTCGCGCCAGACACTCTCCACCCCCCTCCCCGGCATCAACATAATCCTCACCTTCCTACACCTCTCGTCCACCCCACCCCGCGAGGAAGGTGGACCCAGTCCCCTCTGAGCCTCCTTCGGCAAACTTCACATCAGCATCAGCATAGTTGATGTCTTCCATATCCCCGTTTGCGTATCCTTCGCGGTTCTCATCATAGTCGCAACCAAGAAAATGAGCGTGGGAACAAGATCATATACTCATTTAATAACCTCTACGCACCATGAAAGTAAATATTCGTGCCCTAACCGTGTCCCGTTGCATAGACGCTTTCTCGGTTATCCGGTGTAGAGGCGATTAGAGCATCGAGAATAGGGTTGCGTATATTTTTGGAGACTACTGAACGGACGCCGTAGTAGCGGTTCTGGTCATGGAAGCTGTGAAGGGAAAGGTCCTGAGAAGTAAGGCTTCATCGTTTTCATTATTCTCATGCTATCTTTAGTCGAGTGAATAATTGGCTGCGACAATGTGATGTTCAAAAATGTCTTCACATCTAGTCCTTTGAATGGAGCTCTTCGTCAAACGGTCCTTCCCTGGGTGCTCTGGTTTATCTCAGTATTGAGCCAAGCAAAGGTGATGTCGAGTAGGTCGCTAACAACGTCGCCGGAGCTTCAAATAGCAAAAGTCTCATATTACGGCTAAGTAAAGTTACTTTGGGGCAGGAAAATAAAATATTCGGACGGCTTCCATTGCCACATGGGGCTGCTTTCATTCTGTTTCTGCAAAGGTAGCCTTGGACAACCAGCATCAATTCCGGGTATCTCATGCAATGACCACTTGTCTGGAGGTGCGACTACTTGCTGGAAGAATACGTCAATCATACGAAGTAGCAGGATTAGGATAGCCCCTCATGCAACCAAGAAGCGGCCTTTGGTGCCATACAGGAGCAATGCAGCATTCCACGCTGCCGCGATGCTTTATCAAAGATGTTCAAGTCACATATGGCTTGTGAGTCATCGAGCCGGTGTCAGTTCAACTAGCCCAACACTTCTGAGGCAGGAACTTTGAGGGAAGCTGAGGCGATCTCTCCGAGTTTCCTCTCTGCCGTAAGAAGCATCTCGGTTTGGGCAATGGCAGTTTGGTGTATCCAAATGCAGATCTCAATCACGCCGCCATGCAGGGTGCACCGAGAAGCCAGCTCGTTGCTTTGAATATCTATTGCAAAGTGCCGCTTAGCAATTTATTGAACGTTGTGCAGTTCTTGTTCAATCGTTATGCAAGGTTGAGCAAGGTGTTTTCGCTCGTTGTTGATGTGTGGGAGGTTGACATGTCCTGTCCATGGTTCAGTCGGCTTGAGGGGAGGTTTGCTGCGGATCAGTATTGTGAACCACCTGGTGCAGTGTTTTCTGGGACGTTGGAGTGCGCTTTCGTAGGAGTATATAGAGAAGACACACTTATCAAGATGCGTGACGGTGGCTGGTTGTAGCTAAAGAGCGACGGCTGTGATACTGAAGCTGCAGCAACCCTGTCGGGTGAAATCAAAGCAACGAGTGCAGCTTGCGCATACGTGTGCCAACAGTATCAAATTCGAAATCTGAGACAGCTGCCCATGACCCAGAGAATTTATCCAGAGTCTGTGTCCGGCCTGCGTATGCGGAGGTGGAGTGAGAGGCGCGCCTTGGTAAGAGCATTGTGGTGTCGTTGCGTGTCATCGGGCAGTGGACAGCAACCTCCTTCAACCAATCCTGCCTCAGCAATTTGCTTTTTAGTTATTATCATCTTCGATTGCGGGTCGCCCTTTGATCTTTTGAGCGCGATGTCTTGTCTTGCTACCGGACAATATGGCGTCCATGTTAAGGAACGAGCGGCAACGCGGCAGCATTCTTGGACTAGGGGGTACCTCTGCGCTGGACATGATGGCAACGTGCCAAGCCAAATTACGCTGATTGACGCTGGATTTTGGCTATACTGAGGGGACTGAGCTTTGTTGTCTCTCATTGAGGCTGACGGTGCGCTTCGCCATCGTGTGCATATTGTAGCCTCGCTGCTGGCGTTATGGTATGGTTATGCATCACGCTGATTATACGCTCCTCCCTTCGGGAAAGGGTAAATATGTCTACCTGTGTATGCTAGTCAGCTTTCTTCTTGTGTAAGGCGAGATAAGGCAGGAGTTTGGGTGAAAGGGTATACTCACAATGAAGCTTCAGTACGAACATGACTGACAATGGGCACCAGCCCTATCTTGTCCTGCGTCTCGGGTTTTGATGTCAGCTTTCAGTCTCTATCATCGATTACGGGATCTGGAAAATATCTCTATATTATCAGGGAATGCGAACATCAATCATTATGTCGTAAATCGTCTATCATATAAAATTACATCAAAAGAAACCAGGTGGAGGTGGTGGCCTGGCAGTTATTTGTCCAGAAACCCTCCAGCCTTGTTTTGGAAGCAACCTGATCCGTACTCTTCTGGAGCCTCTACGAGATATCCCTCTCGATACAGCATTCGACATAATGTCGTTCTGTGTATGTTTTGGCAGGCCATACATCAGCGTTGGCATCGCTGAGGTTTTCCATACACCAATCTCGTCATGGCTATCCCTCGAGGTCTTGTATATTGTAGCAACGAGGAAAATAATGCTCAAAAACAGCATGAGTAAGGGAAACGTCATCCACGGCCAATAAACTGCAACGTAGGTCTCTCTCGCAAAGGCTGTACCAGCAATGAGTTCGTTGCTGTTAGTATCCGACCTTATGACATTGGTCATAGCTCGTGCCATCCTTTGTATATGACGAGTGACGTTGTTGGGCGAAAGCCATGGACTATAGTTAACCACACGGTACATAACCTGTGTCGTAAAGCTGGTTCTGATCTTGATGAACGGGGGTGCTGTTGCATTGGAAACTGTAATCATCGAGGGGAATACCTCGTCAAGAACCGTAGTGAAATCCAGAAAGGTGGTATTGAAGAGTCCAAAGTCGTGGTCTTTTCCATCGAGAGCATCTGGACGTATACTGATATTCGCTTCGAACGATTCCCAAGTACCTTGCGCCACTGCGTCGTATTTAACCAACCATGGCCATTTTGATGGTGTCGAATTGAAGAAAACTTTCTCTACATGCTCTTCGTAGCCGCCTGAATCATATGAAGAGCGGAGCGTCTCGACGCAAAATGAAAAGACGCATTCCTGAGCAGCAGGGGACTTCCTGTTGTACACGTTGTCGACAGATCCGTCTATAGAGCTGACGATCAGTGTATCGAGGATAGGGTACTGTATGTGTTTAAAGTTGATGGATCCACCATAAAGAGAGTCCCTAAGAGGGTTTGTAGTAAGCGGTAGGGTACGCATGAGAAGCGTCTCTCCTATAGTATCGTTCTCTACCCGAAACCCTGTCATGAGAACAGGATCATTACTTGTAGCATTCAAGAAATAACCGCAAGCAGTTCCTTTGTGATCCATATTAGCGATGATCGTAGAGTGTTATCAAGGATGACTATGATGGAGCTAACTTACCATTTGGCCATGTATTCTCGGTACCAGGGCCAGTGGAGTTCCTTATCCAGTCCAGTTTCATCGGGAGACAGGCATACTCGAGCATGTGTGAGACATCTTCGCAAGCACTGCACACTGCCAAAGTTTCGTAGGATGGCCATTCGCACCTACTAGTGGGACATACTAGCGGTATTTCAGCTTGGGTGGTGTTACCAACGACTGTTGGTTGGGTTCCATTGGCGTAGAAAAACGGGTACAATGCTTTTCGTAGCTCAGGATTCATTTGTGATATTGCTGTAGTTTCCCAAGTGCTGTCGAACTGGTCTTCAACTCTGGGCTCGTAACGAATGCTGCGGGGAATAGAGCTTTCCCCTTGTACTATCCAGCGTTCCGGTAGATCAGTTACCTGTTGGAAAAACGTATCAATTGCCAATAAGAATACTGTCAAGAGAGCCCCCAATGCAGCGAGGGATCTGCCCTTTGTACGGCACAAGAGCATAAATGAACCCCATGCTCCGCGCGACGCTTTGTCGAAGATTTCAAAATCGAAAGCATCCCTAGATTTCTTACCATTGAACCAGGTCCATTTGAGTTGCCCGATGGCCTCGGATATTGGGAGAATAAGTGCTGCTGATGCTATTTTAGAAAGAATAGTGATAATGGTTAGGCCCGATGGCCATTTGTTAAGAGACCGGTCATCAATATGGAAAAGTATTCCAATAATTGCCCCTATTTTCTCTGTTAGTCCGTCACGTATATTTGGTGACACAAGCTAGAGATCTCTCACCCATACAAGCTGCGCTTGTGACGACGCTTAGGATTTCGAATAGCCAGCGCTGTAGGATGCTTTCAGATACATTGTATTGTGCAAGCTTTTGCTCAACACGACTAAGAAAGTCAAAAGAGGACTTTCCGTTATCGGAGGTTTGGAATGTTGGAGGCGGTGGTTTGGGTGCATCTTCGCCCGTTGGCATGTATGAAAATTGAGATCCATTGGAAGTAAATGGTAGAATATTCTCTTGTGCTGGCGTCATCGTATGAATGGCTGCTGACCAACAGTTAGGAAAAGATAATCCATGACTGGAGGTGATGTTTTGAATGAGTTGATAAAGTTCATCATTGGTGGTCACGGCCGTAGCATGCGGTCCTTGCAAGAATACAGATACTAAATCCAGGCGCTTATCGGCTACTGGTAAGCGAGCGCCACGTTATCTAACAAAGATGATCGGGATATAGATTTGCGCTTCGAAAAACAGCCGAGGGGAGTACGTGTGAATCCAGAACGGACAATTCAGTCATTTGGATATAGAGGCCTACTTGGCTTTAAAATCAGACCTGTAGCATCAATGTCCTTAGCGCTGTAACCTGGCAACACATTGAGCGTTGGGCGGCTCCGGGAGGAAGGGTGATAGTTGCACCAATCATGAAGCAGAAGCTCGTGGTAGCGCCGTGGCGCAATGTGCCTACGGACTGCCGTATCAAGTGGGCCAATCAAGGCTGGGCAGTGCGGAATGATCAGCACTGGCTGGCAATGAACACCGCGTCCAGCATAAGCGCTTGAAGTGGTACGATTAAGAAGTGAGGTTCGCTAGGCGCAACGCAAGGCGATTTTGTTCCTTCGATAGTGCGTAGCGGGGCCAGCGGGAGCCATCTCGGATCCGGTCTGGGACGAAGCGCCTACTAAACACATGACGCTATTAAACATGCAAGACTATTCACATCTGATTAGAAATATTATGGGTTAAGATGAGTTAAGAATGGTAAAGTTAAGAATTTCGTAGGCGTGCAAGGGTCTTAGAAAACTGGGATGAAACTTGCTGATGTGCACCAAAAACTACTTTGACGCACCCCAAGAATATAGCCGTTACTGTAAGACTGTAGAATTAAAACTCTTCGTTTTAACTCTTGCTCATAATGCCATCGCATGCACATGCAAATTGAGACCCTCACAGCCAAAACGTGTCGTCATGTGCATACGTCATGTGTTTGATGTCTACAGCCAAGGGGCAGGTAAGGCTGAGATAGTAGGATTTCGAACGGCACATGGCATACTTTGATACTCCCATAATGAATCTCACACCTGCGTGTAGAGTGACAGAATGTCAATTTACGCAGGGAATCATTTTGGGGATTGTCATCATCGTGTAACCATGGGCGAATTGAGCTACCATGTGGCAGCTCATGCGGTCTGAAAGTCGGTCCAATGCAGGGACACCGATGATAATACCTTGGTATTGAGTAAGCGAAGTAGGGTGGTCGATATCACATTGCATGGCCTTTTGATCGTCTGGCCGTGATACCTAGGGCCATGTGTTCATGTCTGACGGGATTGCGGATAATGCAATCGTGGCAAAAACAAAACGGAGATGAACTTGCATGAAAGACAGTTCTGATAAAGGTTACATGATTGTGGCCTGTATTGCGCTCAAACAACAAGTGAGGGGAATCACATAACGTCACCGCCGACAACGGGCGCTTAACCGGAATATATGATTGGTGGATCACTTTCCCAGTGTACCTTGGAACTTTGTTGATACTCTACTTATCTGGGTATGACCTTCGTGATATGACGATTGCTGTATATACGATCAAATTCATCCTGGAGCATGCTGAGGCAGTCAATGAATGGCCTTCAGACTCGAAGCGCAGTCCAGAAAAAGTTATGTTGATAGTTATCTCCATTGCAAATTCCGTGATCATTGCATCGCCATAGCAAAAGTGCCTCCAATCTCGGTTGCAGAGCAAGGGTACAGACGCCACAAAATGATCAGAACACCACACCGCTAAGACAATAGTCTCGTAGAAAGTCTTTTGAACAATATGAAATCAATTTCTGTATGAATTTGATCAGAGAGAGCGGAGAAAGTGTAGCGCTGTTATGCGTTCCGTTCGCCCAGGAGTAGTGACTAGGTTGCGGGAACGGCTGATTGGCGCAAGGTACCGATCAAGCAGAGCCAATCGCTTCATCTCCTGTCAAGGGATGAAAACGCCGCCAAGTCACATCGCATTGCAATATGTCTTCGATTGGTTGGAAATCGTCCTGAAAATTGTTGAAAACTAAGGCAATCACAAGCCCAGAGTTCAACTTACTGTCTCTTTGATCTTTGGACCTGCCTTGTTGAAAGCCTTTTCAGCGCTTGGAACGTGATAGCTCAGTGTGATGAAAACCCCTGAAGCCTTGTAATCCATTGCGTGACGTTCCAAGGCCTCCACAAATGTCAATCTAACGCCGCGTGTTCCAGTCGCGTCGGCCTTTGCGTTTCACCTTTCCTCATTCGTAGCACAGCTATTATGCCTTTGCTTGTTTCTCCCAATAGTTGTACAGCTTCGCATGGTGCGCGCATTGCACATGCTGTTCCGTGTGCTTTGCACCGCATAGGTGGCTTCAAAGGCGGTTACCAAGGTAATGAGTGACCACGGGTTGGAGCGCCGACGACTAGGTTGTAGGTGTCAATCGGTCGTACAGGTTTACCGAGATCGTGGTTGTCACGGAATGTCGACGAGGGATAAATGCGCCGATACATCCCTCATTGTGATACTGGCATCCTTGCAACATCCACTACTTCACCTTTCTTGACAACAACGTCTCGCTGTGCGAACTTCCACGCTCTTAACTTTTTTAAATTTCAACCCATTGAACAAACGATCGTTCAGTAGAAGCTGCAACCATGCGCGGAACAGCCATCTTTGCCCTTGCTTCTTTGGTTCTTCCAACTTTTGTTGCCGCTGTCCCAGTGACCGACGTAAGTGACATCGAATTTAAGATTGTGAATGAATGCCCTAACATTGGTTGCAGACCGCCTCCCTTAACGTAGTACCGGATGTCAAAAGACATGCCGAACCTACTGAAGACTTAGTCAAGCGATCTCTCGAAGCGATCTTACCACCACGCGATTCCAAGGCTCTGGTTGAGCGAAACCGTGGTGTAAGGCCAGGCCAGAAGCGCGATGCGGAAGGTCTAGTTGAGCGAAACCGCGGTGTAAGGCCAGGCCAGAAGCG